GTAAGCTGTAGGAGGAGAACTTAACTCAATCTCAAAAGTTCAATCAAGGTTCAAGAATCTCACAAGAAATTAGAGGAGCAAGAGAAAGGTTGGAAGGGAAGAGAGAGATGAGAGGGAAGGTCCCAAGAGAGTCCCCAACCAAGGAAACCCCATAACACAAAGATTCCCCCCCCTATAGAAACCCCAACTTTGACATTTGTCCCTTCCCAACCAATCCATCCAAGTTGGCCACCCTTGCCAACCTAGCTTGGTTGTTCCCAACCAATTTGCAGCTGCTACAGTAGAGTGACGAATTTACCCAGCCCCAAACGTCCCAACTCCATATAGAGTCACCCACAACTTCACATTGTAACCGCCGCAATTGTAACGCAAGCTCATGAACTTTGAATCTTCATAGCTTTCGCGTTCTTGCTCCGATTGAAGCGATTCTTGTTGCGTCGGAAAGATCTTCTCAAGATCTATTATCACAAATACCTGCTCACACAGAATAACACAAAACACATTCCCAAACTCCAGAACACACACCACACAAATTCTTTCACACACAGTCAAACCATACATGCGAATTGAAACAAGGGATGGGAGGCAGACAGAATGTGATAGCATATGATGACATCACACAACATCAGGTACGTAAGGTCGCAATAGGCTCACGTGGAACTTGTTGTGAATATGCCAATCAACAGGTAGGCACAACTGGGCGGTCACCAGCGTCACCATCTTTATGACCTTGAATGGGCCATAGAAACGTGGTCGTAATTCTGTCGGTAGTGGTAGCTGTAAGTTCTTGGTGTCCAAAAGGACTAGTTGCCCTGCTGCCATTGTAATATCCCGTCGATGTAAATCCGCATACCGTCGAGCAGTAGCGTTCGCCTTGCGGATAAGTTTGACAGCTTTGTCTCTGGCAGTTTGTAATTCTTCGACGAACTGCTACGACCGTGGTACTTGACTCTCAACGTTGGTGGAGATATGTACAGTGGGATCAATCCCGTAATTGAGGTAAAACGGGGAGTGATTAGTCGTAGCTGAGGGCACGTTGTTGTAGGAAAATTCCAACATGGGAAGCGCGTCCTCTCATTTGTTTCGGTCGGGGCAGTTTGTCCAAATCAGCTGTTCCATCGTTTGGTTTGTCCACTTTGTCTGGCCGTCCGTTTGGGGATGATAAGTGGATGAGAATTGCTGGCGCGTGCCGAACCGAGCCCACGTGTCCTGCCAAAATTTCGGCGTGAACTTCGGGTCTCGATCGCTAATGATTGCTGCTGGTATGGTATCCCATGTAGGCGAACAACGGTCGAGATGAATAGTTGCGCGGTTTCTTCGGCTGTGATGGTTGTATGACACGGTGCGAAACGCCCGCCATCTTTGTCAATCGGTCGACGACAACCAATACTGCGTCGTTTTCGCTGGATCCGGTTGGCAGACCTGTGACGAAATCCATCGTCACGTATTTCCATGGGCATTGAGGTGGCTCAAGGGGCTGCAACAGTCCTGTCGGTCGCTGATGTGATGATTTCATTCGCTGGCAGATCGGACACGCGGCCACGTAACGCTGCACATCCGTCACCATATCTGGCTAGTAATAAAACCGTTGCAATGCCTTCAAGGTTTTATCAACCCCGAAATGTCATGATAAATTCGAATTGTGGACTTCTTGAATTAGTAATTCGCGAAGTAGACGATAACTTGGGACCCAAATTCGATATGTCCTGCTTCGTACGTAATAGACGCCTATTTCTTGTAGTGATTTGGAGATGGCCGTCATTTACAAAGAAGGGGTTAGTCGAATACCCGTGGGAAAATAGTCCACTCAGTAGCGGGTTGCTCTGGGCGACTAGTATTGTTGCCAATTGGGCAGATGGTCTGGAGAGGCCGTCAGCAATATTGTTGGCACCTTTTTTGTACGTGATCTTGTACGTGAAGTTGGACTCCAGATAGTCCAACCAGCGTATCTGCCGCAGGTTGAGATTCGGTTGCGCCCTCAAGTACTGTAGGGATTTATGGTTGCCTCGCATTGTCACGTCTGCTCGAGTCAGGTAGCACCTCAGATTTTGAACGCGTGGACAATCGCTAGCATCTCATTGTCGTGTACCGGTAGTTGCACTCAACATATTGCATTTTTTTAGACTCGTACACGATTGGTTGAAGACCATTGCCGAAATCTTGCATGAGCACTGCTTCGATAGCGTTGTCACTTGCGTCGGTGATGACTTCGAAGGGCCGTTCCGGGTCAGCGATGCGAAGTACCGATGGCGACATTAAAAGAGTTTTTAATGCCTCGAACACAGCTTGCTACTTCTCCCCCACTCGTAAGAAGTCCCCTTCTGTAGTAGGTCGGTTAGAGGTCCAGTTAACCCCGCCATGTTGGGTATAAACCGCTTCACGTAATTCACAAAACCCATAAATGAATGTAGCTGCTGCAGATTTGTTGGCGGTTTCCACTCCTGAATAGCCTGGAGTTTTGTTGGGTCTATTTGAATCCCCTCCGTGGATATCACGTGCCCAGGAACTCTAGTTCTTGTTTTAGAAAATCACACTTGGAGCCCTTGGTGATGAGACGATGCTGCTGCAGCTGCTGAAAAACCGCTTCCAAAGCCTTTAAATTTTGTGGGTCTTGCCTGTAAATCAGGATGTCATCCATGTAAATTATCACACATTTGTCGAGTAGATCGCAAAACACCCCGTTCAATGGTGAGCTGGAACGTCGAGGGGGCATTTGTTAATCCAAATGGCATCACCGTGTATTCATAACTCCCGTAGCGAGTACGAAACGCGGTCTTGTGGCAGTCGTCAGCGAAACACCCGGATTTGATGGTAACCGCCACGAGGGTCGATCTTTGAAAAGTAGCGAGCTTTGTGAAGGTTGTAAATCAGCTCGTCCGTGTATGGGATTGGGTAGAGTGATTTAATCGTTACCTGATTAAGGGCACGATAGTCCATACACATGCGAAGTCTGCATCCTTATTTGGGGTGAACAGGATCGGCGCTGCGAACGGGGACGTGCTCGGCCGAATTAACCCTTTTGCCAGCAGGTAGTCAAGCTGGTTCCGTAATTCGTGTAGCTCGGGCTGAGTCAGGCGCCATTGAGTTCGTACAGTAGGCTGCGCACCGGGCTCCAGCTCGATTTTGTGGTCTTGGGGTCGTTCGGATGGCAGTCCACTTGGCAAGTCGTCCGGGAAAATCTCGGGATATTCCCGAATGATTTTTGCCTAGTCATCCGGGAACCGAAGCGCAGAGTTTGTTGATGTCGGTCGCCTCGTTCTGCTCCTTTGATTCGGTTAGATGGATGGCGTATAAATCTTCTCCATTCTTGACGGCTCGCGTAGGCACACAGCGTTGACTCCGTTGCGGTAGTGGTTGAGGTTTTGGTTGGCAAAAGTTGTGGTAGGTGAACTTTGGCCAACCCGGTGCGAAAAACTTGGCGACCGGCCTCGACATTTTGTGAACGGAACCCCATCGCGCCAAATCAAATCGGCAGGCGATCTGCATAACGATATGCGACAGAAACAATTGGGTCGCAGAAAACTGCGACACCTGACAACCAGCTTCCGATAATTTTGGGAAAGTTGTCTTGAAAAAATCTCACCAAATTTCCACCATAATAAAAAAGTTAAACCGTTGTGCCAAGCAGTTCAAGGTAAGGTAGTTTGGTTGGGTGGAAAGACGGGATGGCTGTCAAGCAGCACTTCTAGGGATCTCCCAGCCAAAAATATGAAACTCGAGGAAGTCAACACGCGGGCTTGAAGACCATCTCGTTCTGGTTGGGGTGTTGATGAAGACTTTGGTGAAGAAGGGTGGAGCATTCGCAGTTTGACGGCTGTTCGTGCGCCGGGCAGGTTGGTGCTGCTTTTTGTGGCTTGGTCGACGTCACATTTCTTTGGCGTGGCCGGCCAAGTATGCAGAAACCAGGTTTCGCTCTCGGTCGCAGCTGTTCGTGGACCCCAGTCGCACGAATTTTGGCCGGCAAGGTGTGGAAGGGGCTGGTTGGCCAAAGTTCGAAGCGCACGGCCAACATTGCAATGTGCAATTCCGACGTGGCGAGTCGGTTGGCAAAACTTCAAAGTTCGGCCAAAGTTCAGAACGCGGCTGAGTTTCGAAACTCGGGAATCCATGCGAAACGGAACAATCGAATAACGGTGAAGGAACCAGTTCCGGAATTGGGCCCACGAAGCCGCAGGCTACCAGCCCTTACTGTACCTGTCAAAGCGGAGTTTTCCTGACACCCCTGCTCTGCTCAGTCCACTCCACTCACACGCTGCCCCAAGCAGCGGAAGTTCCCGCCGATGTGCATGCGATCTAGTTTTGCGATTTCCTCTGGCATTTCCAGATCTGTCACCTCGTTTAGTACGGTTGAGAGTGTTTTCGTGGTTCAATCGAGTTTCAAACGGGAGAGTACGGTCTGTCGATGAGCTGCTCTAGCGAACACACCATCTTTCAGCTTGCCCCAGCATTGGCAATTCGTCAGGGCACGGCTGACGACGATCGAACCAAGCTACCCAAGCATGCGAGTGCGTGCGATTTTATGTCGTCCAATTCTTGCATGCAGATTGCTGTATTAGAAATTTTAAAGCGCGTAACCAAGAACGATCAAGACTCAAAGTCTTTGATTCTTGGTCTGAGAGGCGAAATTCGCAGGGGTGTTGTGAAACGAAAAATGGGGTTGGGGAAGCGCGAAAGTCACGGACCTTGCCTGCAGGAGATGGGCGACGTTTAGGCGACGAGTTGAAACAGGGAGAGTGAACCAGAAGTGGGGCGCGTACAATGACGAAAATATATCGACCCCAATGTGTAACTAGGACTGTCGGGCCCAAACGATCAGGCAATAGCACACACCAGTTCCCGAAACACGAAACAAAATATTGCGGAAACACGCCCAGTTCCCCCAACCGAGCCCACGGTAACGATATTATAGCGCCAAATTTAAACCATGAACGGTCTGTAACTGTATAACTAAATCTGCAAAAACAAACAATGAGCTAAGGCCAAGGCACTGGTGAGCTGAGGCCAAGGAGTGGGTGAGCTGAGGCAAGGAGCCGGTGAGCTGAGGCCAAGGAGCGGGTGAGCTGAGGCAAGGAGCGGGTGAGCTGAGAGGCAAGAGAGCGGGAGCTGAGAGGCAAGAGAGCGGGAGCTGAGAGGCAAGAGAGCGGGAGCTGAGAGGCAAGAGAGCGGGAGCTGAGAGGCAGAGAGTGGGGGGATGAGAGGCAAGAGAGCGGGAGCTGAGAGGCAGAGAGCGGGAGCTGAGAGGCAAGAGAGCGGGAGCTGAGAGGTGAGAAAGCGGGAGCTGAGAGGTAAGAGAGCGGGAGCTGAGAGGCAGAGAGGGGAGCTGAGAGGCAAGAGAGCGGGAGATGAAAGGCAAGAGTCAGGCCCCACCATCACAACCTCACTCCACCTTGTAGGCGACAAAAAGGGTGACAGGGAGCAGGGAGCAGGGGAAGAAACGGAGCAAGGGGGTGGAATAAAACAGCGGGAGGCGATGGGAGCAGCGGAAAGGAATGAGAGGGAAGGGGGGGGGGGGGGGGTGGGGGGGGGGGAATGGGATAGGAGGACAGGGGGAAAGAGAGAGGACGATAGGTGGAGAGGGAAAAGAGGATAGGGGGAAAGGGAGAGGAGGATAGGGGAGAGGGAGAGAAGGATAAGGGGAAAGGGAGAGGAGGATGGGGGAAAGGGAGAGGAGGATGGGGGCAAAGGGAGAGGAGAATAAGGGAAAGGGAGAGGAGGATAGGGGGAGAGGGAGAGGAGGACAGGGGGAAAGGGAGAGTCGGATAGGGGGAAAGGGAGAGGAGGATAGGGGGAAAGTTTGTCGAAGAATTACATTTGCTTCAACGAGGATAGACCCGCAGAAGCAAGGTTGAAGATTGGATGGAATATGGCTGATGTCGTGATTATGGTAAAGATAACTGTGGTGATGAGCGACCAAGTGCTTCTGCTGTTGTTGGATGTCCAAGGGCGCTTGTGTGGCCGATGTTTGAGATGGTGGACGATGGCGATGAAATCGTAAGCCAGTTGGACTGTAGCAAGAACTGTCTATTGCTACGGAGTGAGCAAGCTCCGTCCACAGCAAGGAAGGATGGTGTGTATCGCGTCAGTGACATATGGGCAGGTGCAAGTTGTATTTGGAGATGTGAATGATTGGAACAGCATGCTGTAACGTGCAGATGAATGGCTATGTTGTCCGATATGTGCATGATGTTATCCGCATCTGGTCCACGTTTGAAGATCACGAATTGTTGGTGGTATGACAGTCGTGTCATAGTACTAGTTATGTAGCAGCGTTGTATCCGTTACATGCAGCTTCTGACGAATGCTCGTCCATGCCTTAGTGTTGTCTCAAGTCATACCTCTCGGCATCATAGTGCTGTGGGATGGAGAGCAAAATCACTAGTAGTAACTCTGTCCACCATGCTGTCTGCTAGTCCACTACCTTGAGTGTAACAACGCATGCGAAGTGCTGCTCAGCGTATCCCTTGGGTTCAAAAACATTCGATGGGTTGGTACGATAAATGCGGAGCTGGTAACTTCCAGAATCAGCGCCAAAGTAGTTTCCCTCGGTGGTTGCTCAAGGAATCTCAGCTGCGTAGCTATCCCACGATGATGGGGTAGGAGATCTGGGAATGTTACGGCAATTCCCAAATAAACTTCTCCCATTTTCAAATGAGCATTGTTGATAGCAATCCAGTATGACCTCATGCACTTCCATTTTAGCACGGAGGCCATCGGTAGGCATCGGTGTCTGGGCGCACATATTGAGATACGTCTTCTGGTGCCATCATGTGTTGTCTCATTCTGCCACTGTCCTTGAAGTAGCGTTGATGTCAAAGACGTCTCAGCTACTCAGCATCAGTATTGAAGCCTGCTCCATTTCGGCAAACAGGGGTGATGTTGGAGATACGCGGAGTCCACTATTCGGAGTGGCGTCAGCGCTCCATTTCACGCCTATCTGCTTCCGTGGAGGTGGTGCTAGTGATGGATTGGTTGCAACGCAGGTTTTATGACTTCTAGGAAAGCCATAGGCCATGAGGACTTGTATACCGGTAGAGTACCGTTGTCCTCCCATCCTCATAAGAGCAAATATCTCCTGCTCTTGAGGGTATTTGGCATTTTCATGTTGTTCCTTCGCATAGTGGTAACTCCTTCCCACTAGCTGGAAATCATAGTATTGTGCATGGCCGGGACTTATGTGATCGTACTGGAATATAATCCAGCGTTATCTCCATTGAGCGGAGAATCATCCATCAAGGTTTGGATATGACTGTTGTGTCGAGTCTTCTGCTGCGGTGGCGACAGCAATTGCGACAATGGCGATGGCGGCTGCTTCTGCAGAGAATTCTCTTAACTCGTAATGGTTGAAGGAGAACCCATCAACTCCCTCTTCCCTGTAGAGTGTTCCTGATGGGTGTAACAGGTGTAACTACCAGGAATACGTGCACATTAGTCCACATGTGTTGCTCCATTGCTGTCGATGATTGTTTCATTTGAGGGTATGAAGAGATTTTGCTTCTCCCCTCAATGTATCCACGGGTAGCAATTCCTAGTATGCTCATCCGTGCCTCCGATGTACGGTCGATAGAGCGCGTGATCGTATTGTAGTAGTCTGCGTCTCCCTCATATGTTGATACCTCGTGTTGCTTGGCATTCTCCTACATCGTCGAAGTTACGCTGATGCTTGTAATGCTTCGGCTTCTAGTAGAATCGCCTCCAATGCATGTGCCGTAGGGTCGCTAGTGAACGAATACTTGCCGGACCAGAGGTTAATTACTCCTCAATCTATCAAGCGTCGTGACATGCATGGAAATTTTTCCACGCAGGTCATTAACACCTGGAATCGCGACGCATGATTGGTGTGTCGCCTCGTGAGGTTGATGTGAGACTGCTCCAATCAATCACTTCGGATGGCTGAGATTCTTGATGAAGATGAATCGATCAGCTCCTGTTACGAAGTAGTTTCTCGCTGGCCTTGACGAGACGGGTTCACTGCGTCGTCGTTGCATGCGAAATCTTCTCCTTCTCACCAACTTGAACTTGGGAGAATTGCAAGAGAAAATGGCTACTTCTTTGCAATCCCATATGTTGTCGATCAATTTGTATGAAAAAGTGTCTCGTGGATGGAGAACATGTCTTCACGCAGCTGCACTGTTATTCCAGGATGAAGATCCGCTGTGTTGATGTCGATCCATTTTTAAACGAAGATGACTTCGTCAAAATAAATCGATCGGTATCGACACTAGTTAGAAGATGCGTCGATTGTGCAGTCGTTGGTCACGAATGTTGTCTTCATGATGATGCTATTTTGTAGTGTAGTCTCTGCTGCATTCGTTCCCTTGATTCTGCACCGATCCGACAATCCACGTTCTCCTGTCAGTTTTCTGCTTGCAACTATTACCACGTAGGTAAATTTTTGACAGATTTCTGACTCTGTAGATGATCTGCGCGCCAAATTCTAGACCAAATGGAGGAAATCGATTTTGGTTGTCCAGATGAAATGAACGGTGTCGAAGGTGGCTGATTTTTGGTTCTGCGCGTCATTCTCCCTTTGTGCATAAGTCGCGCTCCATCTTGTTCGTTGAAGCAGAAGTAGATCCGACGGTCAAAACTCCAAGCGATCTGAAGATCTTCCTGAGTCGCGTTCAGCAGCTTTCGGTGCCTGGTTTGACTCGTTTCCTGCAGCAATTCTCGGTCGTCATTGTCGGCTGTCGAACGATCGGACACTCCAAAGAATTTTGCAGTTTGCGAGGTCCCGTTATCATTCGTGCCGAAACTCGAACTCGCTCATCATGATTTCGTTTCGCCTCGGTCAATCTGAAGCGTCGAATCTCTATCGGACGAGTGTCGTTGGTCGCAGCTCCGCACATTCCGGCGCAACTCCAAGAGTCGTGGCAAACTGCGAACTTCTCGGAATGTCGTAGGGAGTGTTCCGCTATAACTGACGCGTTCGTGAGATCAAGGCAATTTGCCCCCGCGAAAAATCGGCTCTGTCGATGCAGTCCATTGAACGGTTGGTGAGGCGTCTCGCCTTCAAAGGGGACCCCAGGTGCAACTGCGCGAGTTTAGTCGAAACTCAATTGAAAGTGTATTGTATTTACAGGAATTGAAGTTTCGACTCCATCCTCGGTGCGCTCTTGGGGCCCCAGCGGTTAAGCGTTGATCTGAAACCTTTGGCTCTGATTACCAAGTGTCACAGGATCGAATGAGGTTTGCTCAATCTTCAACTATCAATCAGTATAAGGTGCTTTTATACTTCCATAGTACATCGGGTAACCTGGTATATCCAAAGAGAATAGACCCTTCTAGAAATAGAATCACCCTGCGTATAGCCACCCAAGGCTATTGGCTTTAAGGGATTACGGTAGGATAACACTAGATATAGCGCGCCGGTACATCCCGAGCCTGGTCGGTGATATAATGATAATAATAGGGTAAACCAAATGATTATGGAAAAGGATGAATAGGAAACCAAATGAGATGAGATAAAGAGCAAATGAATCTGGAGTGAAAGAGGAAAGAAATAGAAAGGAAATATGGAAACGGAAAATTGGTGTAACGGGGTCGTACTCTCACAGCCGTCGGAGCAGCCGTCATCGCTGCTGCAGCCCCAGCAGCAGTCGCCACCGCCGCAACAGCAGTCGTCGATGGGATCCGCGAGGTCTGGGGGTGCGGGCGTTGAGGTGGGAGCTCGTCCCGGGGTTACTGTCGTTGCTTGTCCCAGCGGTCCTGGGGGTGGCACCGGTGCTGGAGAGGGTTCTCGTTCTGGGGGTGTTGTCGTGGAGCGTCCCGGAGGTAGCCGAGGTATAGTTGGAGGTTCTGGTGTTGGCGTGGAGCAGCAGCAACAACAATCACTGTCTCTGTCTGCCCTTTGCCTCCTCTGTCTTCCCTCCTCTGATTGCCTGCTTGCGCCTCCCCCGCCTGTCTACAGTCCTGTGTTTCCTCTAACGGACTCGTCTCCGGCTCGTTTTCCCCCACGTTCTCCTCCTGTGTCTCCTCCTGTGTCTCCTCCTGTATCTCTGAACCCCACGCCTCCGTCCCACTTTTGGTCTCGCCGTCCCTCTCGTGCTCGTCCTATCTCTTCTATCCAGCGCTCTCACCCTATATTGCTTCGTTCCCACGCGTCTCGTCCTCCCCTCCTCCCGTCGCCTCCTCCATCCTCACTAGTTGTCACTCTGCCTCCCTTGTCTGACTTCCTCCATGCCGCTAGTCCTCTTGTTCCTCGGGTCCTCGCCTCTCTTGTTACGGACCTGTCTGCTCCTGTCTCCAGTCTTGACACTCTTGTCGCTGCAGTCACTGACTGTGCCTCTACCCGCCGCCTTGACTATGCCACCGCTCTGGTCTCTGAATTGCGCGTCCTCCGTCCGTCGAGGTTGCTTCTGCCCTTGGCAGTGACGTCCTGGAGGACCGGCAGTACAAGCTTGCTTTCTTGTCCGAGGCCACGCCTCATCTCCGCTCCATGCTGCTAGTCCCTGAGGGTGACCCAGACGCCTTTGACATCCAGAGGACCAGCATAAGCAGAGACCAGAGCGGCAGCGTAGTCAAGGTGGTGGCTAGCAGCAAAGTCAGCGACTGCAGCGATAAGCGCAGAGGCAGACTAAGGAGGAACAGTAGGGTCAGTGACAAGCGACGCAAGCAAGCGCGAGAGGGTAGGACGAGCACTGCGAGCAGCTTCGGAGCGAGGAGGGGGGGAAGACGGGAGTGACGACAGGGGAGACAATGGGAGGACTGTGACTGGAAGAGCACACGAACGAAGGACCATAGGGTGGACACTAGGACGGGGAGAGAGAGAACGAGCACAAGGGGTGACGGACCCAGTGGGGAAGAGCTGGGGACTTGGGACGAGGAGGAATGGGGGAAAGTCAGGGGACGGAGGGGAGCGCGAGGGAAAACGAGCCGGAGAGGAGTCCGGAGGAGCAAACAATGGGTCGTAAACAGGGTCACGCAACGGAGGGGGAATGGGCGAGCGGGCAGGGGAACTTGGAGAAAGACCAAGAAGACAAAGGGCAGACTGCTGCTGCTCCTGCTGCAACGGTTGCGCCTACTGCTGCGGCTACTGCTGCTGCTGCTGATGCGTTTACAACGGCTCCCTGTCCTCTCCAGGACCACCAGCGGCTTCGCGGCTGGCACCAGCACGCCACGAAATAGCACCCCCAGCACCTCTTCTTTTGAGTCGACTCAAAAGCGCTTTCCGTTACCTCTTCCTTTGAGTCGACTCAAAAGCGCTTTCCGTTACCTCTTCCTTTGAGTCGACTCAAAAGCGCTTTCCGTTACCTCTTCTTTTGAGTCGACTCAAAAGCGCTTTCTGTTACCTCTTCCTTTGAGTCAACTTCGCACCCTCAGAGCTCGCACCTCCAGAAGCAGCACTCCCAACACCAACTCCACCAACACCCCCAACACCAGAACCCCCAGAATGAGCACCCCCATAACCCACTGCTCCCTGTTGCTGCTGTGGCCGCTGAGTCGGCTACAGCGATGGCTGCTGCTGCTGGGGCAAGGGAGGAGGTGGCTGAGGTGCCTCGGGTACAGAGGCTAGGGGAGGCGCCGCCGGGTCAGCAGGCGCGCCTCCAGCATCTGGGCCCCCAGAGTCAGCCGACTCCCCCACAGGTGCAACCGAGGGGAACTGAGTGGCATGGGAGACACCAGACTGGGCCGGGCGGCGCACGAGGGGTGCGACTGTTATAATCACAATAGGCTTAGATGTGCCTATAATGAGAGATAGAGAGCACAGTCGGATTTCCGTCAGACGGCTTCAAATATTGATTACGATCTGGTCACTGAATCAAACGGTGATCTGTAAGTTGGATCTGGAGTGCGTTGTTGTCGTCTATGAGCAGCAAGTTGAATCATGAAATTCCATGAAGATTTGACGACGCTATGGCGGTTTGACTGGCAGGAGGTATAGCAGCCACTATAGTCTTAGGAGTACAAACTTAGCAAGAAGAGTTCGAGAGGGAGATGGTTCCCAGCCTCTACATACCCCAGAGCCGAGGTCCAGGTTGGTGGTACACCACCACAGAGTCCCCAACCATGAAGAGTCTCGAAACCAACCCTCCAAGGGGCTACACCAAGTGAAATGTAACACTACACGAAGTAGCGTTACTATTTTCACTATTTAATATTTATCCGCGTCCCTTGGGCTTGAAATCTTGAGCTCTTGTTCTTGGATCTGCAAGATAAATTCTTCTTGAGTTGATGGGGGCTTGCTGCACACACCTGCGACACGATGGACACTTCACACTCGACAAAATAGAAAAAACACATGCGACACACAAACGACGACTTGACATGCGAGTTGTAGAAACTCGCTAATGTCTTGACCGACACAAACCACATTGTGATACACCATTCAAACACACACACAAGCACTGGATAGCAATGACATAGACTCACAATTCATTCCATGCCATGCATGCACACACACAAACAAGGACGACAAGCCGAGTGCAAGCCATAGGGTTGCACCAACAAACTCCTCCTCGGATTGTTGGCCTTAGAATCTGCTCCCCTTAGTTCAGAGCCATCCCAGCAAGCTTGCAACACTTCCAATGCTGCTGCTCAACCAGCCTCTTGGTCATCATATCAGCTGGCTGCGCCGTCGTCTTCACGTAGTGCAACTCCACTTCACCCGCGGTTACCATGCTCCTCACCCAATGCCACTTCACCTTCATGTGCTTGGTAAGGCCATGAAGAACCGGGTTCTTAGCCAATGCAATAGCACCTTGGCTATCACAGTAGAGTGGGGTTGGTCCTTGCTGCTCCTCCCCCAATTCAGCTAGCAAACGCCGCTGCCACACAACCTCTCTTATGGCACGGAAGAGTGCCATGTACTCGGACTCCACCGAGCTCAATGCTTGGTCCACTTGCTTCTTGCTCTCCCAAGCTGTTGGGCCTCCACCAACACAGCAGATGAAGCCTCCCACACTTGTCATGTCCTCTGGTTCTGATGCCCAAGATGCATCAGAGAAGGCGGTGAGAAAGAGCCTCCCGGGTTCGACTCCATCCGCCCCCTTTTGACGCCTTTGTGCCGCCGCGGAGTATTGCAGTCCAACAGTTGCTGTTTGGCCAAGGTACTTGGCCACTCTCTCTCCAGCTGCTACCTGCTCTTCATTAGGGCATTGGACAACCCTAGCCAGCTGCCCGGTAGCAAAGGCTGCATCCGGCCTTGTGTGAACGGCCGCATACATGAGGCTGCCCACCAAGGAGTGAAAACGGCGCCTCTCCTCTTCACCAACACTTTCCTCCGCTGGTCCTTTCACACACTTGAACCCTGAGGGAAGAGGAGTAGCCACATGACCTTCACTCTTCCCAAAGTTTGCAGCCAAGGCCTCCAAGTACTTCTTTTGATGCACTCGCATCCACCGCTTCTCCACATCTCGCTCAATGTGAAGCCCAAGGTAGTAGTTGACGTCACCAAGGGTCTTGCACTTGAACTTGTCTTGAAGCTTCAGCATCACCTCCTTCACAAGGTCAGAGGAGGGTGAGAATATGAGGATGTCATCCACATAAACCACCATGAAGCTCCTCTGCTCCCCCTCGCCAAGCATGAACAAGGATTGATCGGCCGTTGAGGGAGTGAAGCCGATCGCCTCCAAGACTTCCCGCAGCTTGATGTACCATTGCCTAGGGGCTTGCTTGAGGCCATAGAGTGCTTTCTTCAGCTTCCACACTCTGCCACTCCCATCATTGTACCCCTCTGGCTGCTCCATGTAGGTCTCTTCCTCCAAAACGCCGTTGAGGAAGGCCGTTACTATATCCATTTGCTTCACCACCCATCCTTTGATGGCCGCCGCGGCGAAGAGGGTTCGAAGGGTTGTACCCTTCACCACAGGGGCATACACTTCATTGTAGTCCTTCTTCTCTTGCTGCTGATACCCCTTGGCTACAAGTCTGCTCTTGTAGCGCTCGATGTTGCCGTCGGCGTCGGTCTTGCGCTTGAAGAGCCACTTGGAAGAGATCGCCTTACGCCCCGGAGGTAGGTTCACCAAGTCAAACGTGTCGTTCTCGATGATGCTCCCCATTTCTTCATCTGAGGCCTTCTTCCACTCCTTCCCATTGGGGCCCTCCCAAGCCTCCTTGGGATTTGTAGGCTCCCCCGGCATCTCCACCGGAGAGAAGAAGGCAAAGGCGCACTCCTCGCTTTCATCTTCCGCATCATCGCCTAGCATGAGAGCCGAACCGGTCAAGGTTGAGTTGGCTGGTCCTCCAAGCCGGTCATAGCTCAACCTATTAGGGGGCTGAGTCCTCCTTCTCCCCCTTCCTTCCTCCTCTGCTGCAGGGACTTGAATGCTCTCATGGCGTTGCGGTAAATCTGGTCGGTTCCCACGAGCACTTGTAGCACGAGGCGGAAGTGCCGGTGCACGCTCATCACCTTGCTGCACCTCCTCCTCCTCTTCTCCCCCATTCATTTGAGGAGATTGCCTTGTAATAGTGCTGCTGCTACTCAGCTCCAAGGGCAGCTCCACATGCTCCAAGCCGGTACTCTTCACCTCTCTGAGCCGCACACCAATCTTCGCTTGGTTCTCCGCCTTCCACTCCTTGTACGGTAAGTTCTCCATGAACTTGCAATCTCTGCTCACCAGGAACTTCTTGGTAAATGGGTCCCAAAGAAGCCATCCCTTGCTGTTTTGAGCCATGCCCAGGTGCACGGCCCATGTTGCCTTGGCATCAAGCTTGTTGTGCCGAAGTTTCTTAGGCACAAGTGCCATGCATATGCACCCGAACACCCGAAGCATATCCACCTTCGGCTTCCTTCCAATCCACTCCACATAGGGCACCCATTTGTCTTCTCCCACATGAGTCAAGGCTCTGTTCTTGGCCACACAAGCATGCCGCACCGCATCCGGCCAAAAGTAATTGGGAAGACCGGCTTCAATGAGAAGTCCCCGAGCCGTCTCCGTGAGTGTCCGATTCGCACGCTCGGCGATGCCGTTCATTGCAGGAGAGTAGGGCATGGTAAGAGAGTGCCTTATGCCCTGCTTCTTCAGCCAAGTTGAGAAATCCTTGCTCAGGAACTCTCCCCCACGGTCAGTGCGAATCGCCTTCACAAGTCGGTCTTGTTGCCGCTCCACCATCGGCAACCAATCGGTCTTCACAGTTTCAGCTACGTCACTCTTCTTGGGCAGCACATACACCCAAGTCATGCGAGTGTAGACGTCCACAATGGTGAGAAAGTACTCAGCTCCAGCAGCTCCAAGCTTCAAGGGGCCCACCACATCCATCACCACCTCATCAAGTGGTGCCTTCGCCGTTGTCTCCGAGCTATGGAACGGGTAGCGGGTGAACTTGGCTTGCATGCATGTTGGACAGCCAAGCACCTCATTGGGCTCCCCCTTGACACGTATCCCACTGACCATCTCTTGCTTAACAATCTGCTGCAAAATGGGCAATGCCACATGCCCCATTCGCCGATGCAAGGTCAGCCAATCACACTCTCCCGTAGCGGAAGTCGGGTTGGAGAAAGCGGCACTCGCAATCGTGCCCCACAAGCTCTCTCCTTTCTCCTTCGCCGCTGCTGCTTTGCTGATCTTAGGCTTCTCCTCCTCATTTCCACCACCTTTGGCTGCTGCACCACTCTCCTTGGGTTCACACGCCTTGCTGGTCTCTCCAAGGTTGCACTCCTTCGAGTCACTCTTGGTGTCACTTTGTTTTCCGTGATCACCGCCACCAACCGCTTCACTCTTGGTGCTGACGCTTGCTGCCACTTGCCTCCCCTTAGGCATGGGGACCACTGGGATTTGCCACATCTCATTGTAGATGTCCCTGTCCTCATGAAGGTCCCAAAGCTTCCGCTCACCAAGCCTCGCGGTATATGTTTTGGAGCCCTTGGAAGATGTGTCCATGCCGGCCTTTTGCAAACGCCGAACGGAAATCAGGTTGGCTGCAAGGTTGGGCACCCAAAGCACGTTCTTGAGGCCCACCATCTTCCCATCAGCACCCTTGAACATGGCCTTGCCCATGCCTTTCACCTCTGCTCGCTGCCCCAAAGCCGATGTAACATGCTTCACCGGCGACGGTTCGAGTTCGGTGAGCAAGTCCGCACGAGGTGTCATGCTGTAGGTGGCGCCGCTATCGATCACCCAAAAGTCCAGAGAGTGAAGGGTGACCTTTCCCACAGTTGCTGGCTCCTCAAAGCCTTCCACACCTCCTGCTGCAGCTGCCGCTTGCGTGGAGACAAAGAAGAATTGGCCCGGGTATCGATCTTCACTCGAGTCCTTGTCGTAGTCTCCACCTTTCATGCTTGCCGCTTCGCCTCCACGGCCACCACGGCCTCCACGACCTCTGCCTCTTCCTCCCCTTGCTCCTCTGCCCTCTTGGCCTTGAGAAGGGGTCCATCCATCAGGCAATCTGAAGCAATCTCTCCACATGTGGCCGGTCTTGTGACAAAAATGGCATTCGCCATCAAATCGACCGCGCCCACGCCCGTAGCCATTGTTGTTGTTGCTGCCATATCCTCCATTACCACGGCCTCCATTGAAGTTACTGCTGCCAAATCTTTCTCCTCGCCCTCTGCCTCTTCCACGGCCGTGCCCACGGCCCATGCTTGCAACTCCGGCACCATCGGGACCCGCCAATTCGCGACGGCGGAAATCTTCTTGTAAGATTTCCCGCTTCACATCTTCGAGTGAGAGACGGGGCAGATCTCGATTAAGGTTCATGATGAGCGAGGACCATGAGTCCAGAAGTAAGGCCAGCAGCTTGGTCTTCTTTTGAAGGTCACTGTAGTTTAGCTCAGCTCCTTCGAGCCGTGTCAACAAGTCGAAGAATTTCTGTACTCCTTCCTCCACCGGTTCGCCTTCGTCAATTCGAAGTGCTGCCATTTGCCGCTCCAAAACCACAGCTACCGCTGCTGTTGCAGGAGCATGTACACCCTTGAGAACAGCCCATGCCTTTGGTCCCTTTGCTGGTTCACGCTGAAAAGGCTTGATGTGACGGATTTGGCTGCTCCCCAACGCTTGCCCAAGTAGAAGGTAGCCTTGTGCGCTCTTCCGCACCCACGGGCTCTTCTCCGGGTCGTTCTCGGGGCGCTTCTCCGTTCCTTCCATCACCTCCAGCAGATCATAGTGGTCAAAGATGTTCTCCATCTTGAAGGACCACTCAGCAAAGTTGTCACCGTTGAACTTGTCAAGGCCAAACACTCTAGGCTCATCCCTAGAGGGTCCAAGGCTAGGTTGCACCGGAGCAATGGGTGGATCTTGGTGTTGACCTTGTGCTTGGGCGTCTTCTCTGCCTCCAGCACCTCTGCCACCCCCTTCCTCAGGTCTAGGCATGGTCGAGAAGGCTCCAAGGGGCTCTGATACCACTTGTTATAATCACAATAGGCTTAGATGTGCCTATAATGAGAGATAGAGAGCACAGTCGGATTTCCGTCAGACGGCTTCAAATATTGATTACGATCTGGTCACTGAATCAAACGGTGATCTGTAAGTTGGATCTGGAGTGCGTTGCTGTCGTCTATGAGCAGCAAGTTGAATCATGAAATTCCATGAAGATTTGACGACGCTATGGCGGTTTGACTGGCAGGAGGTATAGCAGCCACTATAGTCTTAGGAGTACAAACTTAGCAAGAAGAGTTCGAGAGGGAGATGGTTCCCAGCCTCTACATACCCCAGAGCCGAGGTCCAGGTTGGTGGTACACCAACACAGAGTCCCCAACCATGAAGAGTCTCGAAACCAACCCTCCAAGGGGCTACACCAAGTGAAATGTAACACTACACGAAGTAGCGTTACTATTTTCACTATTTAATATTTATCCGCGTCCCTTGGGCTTGAAATCTTGAGCTCTTGTTCTTGGATCTGCAAGATAAATTCTTCTTGAGTTGATGGGGGCTTGCTGCACACACCTGCGACACGATGGACACTTCACACTCGACAAAATAGAAAAAACACATGCGACACACAAACGACGACTTGACATGCGAGTTGTAGAAACTCGCTAATGTCTTGACCGACACAAACCACATTGTGATACACCATTCAAACACACACACAAGCACTGGATAGCAATGACATAGACTCACAATTCATTCCATGCCATGCATGCACACACACAAACAAGGACGACAAGCCGAGTGCAAGCCATAGGGTTGCACCAACAAACTCCCCCTCGGATTGTTGGCCTTAGAATCTGCTCCCCTTAGTTCAGAGCCATCCCAGCAAGCTTGCAACACTTCCAATGCTGCTGCTCAACCAGCCTCTTGGTCATCATATCAGCTGGCTGCGCCGTCGTCTTCACGTAGTGCAACTCCACTTCACCCGCGGTTACCATGCTCCTCACCCAATGCCACTTCACCTTCATGTGCTTGGTAAGGCCATGAAGAACCGGGTTCTTAGCCAATGCAATAGCACCTTGGCTATCACAGTAGAGTGGGGTTGGTCCTTGCTGCTCCTCCCCCAATTCAGCTAGCAAACGCCGCTGCCACACAACCTCTCTTATGGCACGGAAGAGTGCCATGTACTCGGACTCCACCGAGCTCAATGCTTGGTCCACTTGCTTCTTGCTCTCCCAAGCTGTTGGGCCTCCACCAACACAGCAGATGAAGCCTCCCACACTTGTCATGTCCTCTGGTTCTGATGCCCAAGATGCATCAGAGAAGGCGGTGAGAAAGAGCCTCCCGGGTTCGACTCCATCCGCCCCCTTTTGACGCCTTTGTGCCGCCGCGGAGTATTGCAGTCCAACAGTTGCTGTTTGGCCAAGGTACTTGGCCACTCTCTCTCCAGCTGCTACCTGCTCTTCATTAGGGCATTGGACAACCCTAGCCAGCTGCCCGGTAGCAAAGGCTGCATCCGGCCTTGTGTGAACGGCCGCATACATGAGGCTGCCCACCAAGGAGTGAAAACGGCGCCTCTCCTCTTCACCAACACTTTCCTCCGCTGGTCCTTTCACACACTTGAACCCTGAGGGAAGAGGAGTAGCCACATGACCTTCACTCTTCCCAAAGTTTGCAGCCAAGGCCTCCAAGTACTTCTTTTGATGCACTCGCATCCACCGCTTCTCCACATCTCGCTCAATGTGAAGCCCAAGGTAGTAGTTGACGTCACCAAGGGTCTTGCACTTGAACTTGTCTTGAAGCTTCAGCATCACCTCCTTCACAAGGTCAGAGGAGGGTGAGAATATGAGGATGTCATCCACATAAACCACCATGAAGCTCCTCTGCTCCCCCTCGCCAAGCATGAACAAGGATTGATCGGCCGTTGAGGGAGTGAAGCCGATCGCCTCCAAGACTTCCCGCAGCTTGATGTACCATTGCCTAGGGGCTTGCTTGAGGCCATAGAGTGCTTTCTTCAGCTTCCACACTCTGCCACTCCCATCATTGTACCCCTCTGGCTGCTCCATGTAGGTCTCTTCCTCCAAAACGCCGTTGAGGAAGGCCGTTACTATATCCATTTGCTTCACCACCCATCCTTTGATGGCCGCCGCGGCGAAGAGGGTTCGAAGGGTTGTACCCTTCACCACAGGGGCATACACTTCATTGTAGTCCTTCTTCTCTTGCTGCTGATACCCCTTGGCTACAAGTCTGCTCTTGTAGCGCTCGATGTTGCCGTCGGCGTCGGTCTTGCGCTTGAAGAGCCACTTGGAAGAGATCGCCTTACGCCCCGGAGGTAGGTTCACCAAGTCAAACGTGTCGTTCTCGATGATGCTCCCCATTTCTTCATCTGAGGCCTTCTTCCACTCCTTCCCATTGGGGCCCTCCCAAGCCTCCTTGGGATTTGTAGGCTCCCCCGGCATCTCCACCGGAGAGAAGAAGGCAAAGGCGCACTCCTCGCTTTCATCTTCCGCATCATCGCCTAGCATGAGAGCCGAACCGGTCAAGGTTGAGTTGGCTGGTCCTCCAAGCCGGTCATAGCTCAACCTATTAGGGGGCTGAGTCCTCCTTCTCCCCCTTCCTTCCTCCTCTGCTGCAGGGACTTGAATGCTCTCATGGCGTTGCGGTAAATCTGGTCGGTTCCCACGAGCACTTGTAGCACGAGGCGGAAGTGCCGGTGCACGCTCATCACCTTGCTGCACCTCCTCCTCCTCTTCTCCCCCATTCATTTGAGGAGATTGCCTTGTAATAGTGCTGCTGCTACTCAGCTCCAAGGGCAGCTCCACATGCTCCAAGCCGGTACTCTTCACCTCTCTGAGCCGCACACCAATCTTCGCTTGGTTCTCCGCCTTCCACTCCTTGTACGGTAAGTTCTCCATGAACTTGCAATCTCTGCTCACCAGGAACTTCTTGGTAAATGGGTCCCAAAGAAGCCATCCCTTGCTGTTTTGAGCCATGCCCAGGTGCACGGCCCATGTTGCCTTGGCATCAAGCTTGTTGTGCCGAAGTTTCTTAGGCACAAGTGCCATGCATATGCACCCGAACACCCGAAGCATATCCACCTTCGGCTTCCTTCCAATCCACTCCACATAGGGCACCCATTTGTCTTCTCCCACATGAGTCAAGGCTCTGTTCTTGGCCACACAAGCATGCCGCACCGCATCCGGCCAAAAGTAATTGGGAAGACCGGCTTCAATGAGAAGTCCCCGAGCCGTCTCCGTGAGTGTCCGATTCGCACGCTCGGCGATGCCGTTCATTGCAGGAGAGTAGGGCATGGTAAGAGAGTGCCTTATGCCCTGCTTCTTCAGCCAAGTTGAGAAATCCTTGCTCAGGAACTCTCCCCCACGGTCAGTGCGAATCGCCTTCACAAGTCGGTCTTGTTGCCGCTCCACCATCGGCAACCAATCGGTCTTCACAGTTTCAGCTACGTCACTCTTCTTGGGCAGCACATACACCCAAGTCATGCGAGTGTAGACGTCCACAATGGTGAGAAAGTACTCAGCTCCAGCAGCTCCAAGCTTCAAGGGGCCCACCACATCCATCACCACCTCATCAAGTGGTGCCTTCGCCGTTGTCTCCGAGCTATGGAACGGGTAGCGGGTGAACTTGGCTTGCATGCATGTTGGACAGCCAAGCACCTCATTGGGCTCCCCCTTGACACGTATCCCACTGACCATCTCTTGCTTAACAATCTGCTGCAAAATGGGCAATGCCACATGCCCCATTCGCCGATGCAAGGTCAGCCAATCACACTCTCCCGTAGCGGAAGTCGGGTTGGAGAAAGCGGCACTCGCAATCGTGCCCCACAAGCTCTCTCCTTTCTCCTTCGCCGCTGCTGCTTTGCTGATCTTAGGCTTCTCCTCCTCATTTCCACCACCTTTGGCTGCTGCACCACTCTCCTTGGGTTCACACGCCTTGCTGGTCTCTCCAAGGTTGCACTCCTTCGAGTCACTCTTGGTGTCACTTTGTTTTCCGTGATCACCGCCACCAACCGCTTCACTCTTGGTGCTGACGCTTGCTGCCACTTGCCTCCCCTTAGGCATGGGGACCACTGGGATTTGCCACATCTCATTGTAGATGTCCCTGTCCTCATGAAGGTCCCAAAGCTTCCGCTCACCAAGCCTCGCGGTATATGTTTTGGAGCCCTTGGAAGATGTGTCCATGCCGGCCTTTTGCAAACGCCGAACGGAAATCAGGTTGGCTGCAAGGTTGGGCACCCAAAGCACGTTCTTGAGGCCCACCATCTTCCCATCAGCACCCTTGAACATGGCCTTGCCCATGCCTTTCACCTCTGCTCGCTGCCCCAAAGCCGATGTAACATGCTTCACCGGCGACGGTTCGAGTTCGGTGAGCAAGTCCGCACGAGGTGTCATGCTGTAGGTGGCGCCGCTATCGATCACCCAAAAGTCCAGAGAGTGAAGGGTGACCTTTCCCACAGTTGCTGGCTCCTCAAAGCCTTCCACACCTCCTGCTGCAGCTGCCGCTTGCGTGGAGACAAAGAAGAATTGGCCCGGGTATCGATCTTCACTCGAGTCCTTGTCGTAGTCTCCACCTTTCATGCTTGCCGCTTCGCCTCCACGGCCACCACGGCCTCCACGACCTCTGCCTCTTCCTCCCCTTGCTCCTCTGCCCTCTTGGCCTTGAGAAGGGGTCCATCCATCAGGCAATCTGAAGCAATCTCTCCACATGTGGCCGGTCTTGTGACAAAAATGGCATTCGCCATCAAATCGACCGCGCCCACGCCCGTAGCCATTGTTGTTGTTGCTGCCATATCCTCCATTACCACGGCCTCCATTGAAGTTACTGCTGCCAAATCTTTCTCCTCGCCCTCTGCCTCTTCCACGGCCGTGCCCACGGCCCATGCTTGCAACTCCGGCACCATCGGGACCCGCCAATTCGCGACGGCGGAAATCTTCTTGTAAGATTTCCCGCTTCACATCTTCGAGTGAGAGACGGGGCAGATCTCGATTAAGGTTCATGATGAGCGAGGACCATGAGTCCAGAAGTAAGGCCAGCAGCTTGGTCTTCTTTTGAAGGTCACTGTAGTTTAGCTCAGCTCCTTCGAGCCGTGTCAACAAGTCGAAGAATTTCTGTACTCCTTCCTCCACCGGTTCGCCTTCGTCAATTCGAAGTGCTGCCATTTGCCGCTCCAAAACTACAGCTACCGCTGCTGTTGCAGGAGCATGTACACCCTTGAGAACAGCCCATGCCTTTGGTCCCTTTGCTGGTTCACGCTGAAAAGGCTTGATGTGACGGATTTGGCTGCTCCCCAACGCTTGCCCAAGTAGAAGGTAGCCTTGTGCGCTCTTCCGCACCCACGGGCTCTTCTCCGGGTCGTTCTCGGGGCGCTTCTCCGTTCCTTCCATCACCTCCAGCAGATCATAGTGGTCAAAGATGTTCTCCATCTTGAAGGACCACTCAGCAAAGTTGTCACCGTTGAACTTGTCAAGGCCAAACACTCTAGGCTCATCCCTAGAGGGTCCAAGGCTAGGTTGCACCGGAGCAATGGGTGGATCTTGGTGTTGACCTTGTGCTTGGGCGTCTTCTCTGCCTCCAGCACCTCTGCCACCCCCTTCCTCAGGTCTAGGCATGGTCGAGAAGGCTCCAAGGGGCTCTGATACCACTTGTTATAATCACAATAGGCTTAGATGTGCCTATAATGAGAGATAGAGAGCACAGTCGGATTTCCGTCAGACGGCTTCAAATATTGATTACGATCTGGTCACTAAATCAAACGGTGATCTGTAAGTTGGATCTGGAGTGCGTTGCTGTCGTCTATGAGCAGCAAGTTGAATCATGAAATTCCATGAAGATTTGACGACGCTATGGCGGTTTGACTGGCAGGAGGTATAGCAGCCACTATAGTCTTAGGAGTACAAACTTAGCAAGAAGAGTTCGAGAGGGAGATGGTTCCCAGCCTCTACATACCCCCAGAGCCGAGGTCCAGGTTGGTGGTACACCACCACAGAGTCCCCAACCATGAAGAGTCTCGAAACCAACCCTCCAAGGGGCTACACCAAGTGAAATGTAACACTACACGAAGTAGCGTTACTATTTTCACTATTTAATATTTATCCGCGTCCCTTGGGCTTGAAATCTTGAGCTCTTGTTCTTGGATCTGCAAGATAAATTCTTCTTGAGTTGATGGGGGCTTGCTGCACACACCTGCGACACGATGGACACTTCACACTCGACAAAATAGAAAAAACACATGCGACACACAAACGACGACTTGACATGCGAGTTGTAGAAACTCGCTAATGTCTTGACCGACACAAACCACATTGTGATACACCATTCAAACACACACACAAGCACTGGATAGCAATGACATAGACTCACAATTCATTCCATGCCATGCATGCACACACACAAACAAGGACGACAAGCCGAGTGCAAGCCATAGGGTTGCACCAACAAACTCCCCCTCGGATTGTTGGCCTTAGAATCTGCTCCCCTTAGTTCAGAGCCATCCCAGCAAGCTTGCAACACTTCCAATGCTGCTGCTAAACCAGCCTCTTGGTCATCATATCAGCTGGCTGCGCCGTCGTCTTCACGTAGTGCAACTCCACTTCACCCGCGGTTACCATGCTCCTCACCCAATGCCACTTCACCTTCATGTGCTTGGTAAGGCCATGAAGAACCGGGTTCTTAGCCAATGCAATAGCACCTTGGCTATCACAGTAGAGTGGGGTTAGTCCTTGCTGCTCCTCCCCCAATTCAGCTAGCAAACGCCGCTGCCACACAACCTCTCTTATGGCACGGAAGAGTGCCATGTACTCGGACTCCACCGAGCTCAATGCTTGGTCCACTTGCTTCTTGCTCTCCCAAGCTGTTGGGCCTCCACCAACACAGCAGATGAAGCCTCCCACACTTGTCATGTCCTCTGGTTCTGATGCCCAAGATGCATCAGAGAAGGCGGTGAGAAAGAGCCTCCCGGGTTCGACTCCATCCGCCCCCTTTTGACGCCTTTGTGCCGCCGCGGAGTATTGCAGTCCAACAGTTGCTGTTTGGCCAAGGTACTTGGCCACTCTCTCTCCAGCTGCTACCTGCTCTTCATTAGGGCATTGAACAACCCTAGCCAGCTGCCCGGTAGCAAAGGCTGCATCCGGCCTTGTGTGAACGGCCGCATACATGAGGCTGCCCACCAAGGAGTGAAAACGGCGCCTCTCCTCTTCACCAACACTTTCCTCCGCTGGTCCTTTCACACACTTGAACCCTGAGGGAAGAGGAGTAGCCACATGACCTTCACTCTTCCCAAAGTTTGCAGCCAAGGCCTCCAAGTACTTCTTTTGATGCACTCGCATCCACCGCTTCTCCACATCTCGCTCAATGTGAAGCCCAAGGTAGTAGTTGACGTCACCAAGGGTCTTGCACTTGAACTTGTCTTGAAGCTTCAGCATCACCTCCTTCACAAGGTCAGAGGAGGGTGAGAATATGAGGATGTCATCCACATAAACCACCATGAAGCTCCTCTGCTCCCCCTCGCCAAGCATGAACAAGGATTGATCGGCCGTTGAGGGAGTGAAGCCGATCGCCTCCAAGACTTCCCGCAGCTTGATGTACCATTGCCTAGGGGCTTGCTTGAGGCCATAGAGTGCTTTCTTCAGCTTCCACACTCTGCCACTCCCATCATTGTACCCCTCTGGCTGCTCCATGTAGGTCTCTTCCTCCAAAACGCCGTTGAGGAAGGCCGTTACTATATCCATTTGCTTCACCACCCATCCTTTGATGGCCGCCGCGGCGAAGAGGGTTCGAAGGGTTGTACCCTTCACCACAGGGGCATACACTTCATTGTAGTCCTTCTTCTCTTGCTGCTGATACCCCTTGGCTACAAGTCTGCTCTTGTAGCGCTCGATGTTGCCGTCGGCGTCGGTCTTGCGCTTGAAGAGCCACTTGGAAGAGATCGCCTTACGCCCCGGAGGTAGGTTCACCAAGTCAAACGTGTCGTTCTCGATGATGCTCCCCATTTCTTCATCTGAGGCCTTCTTCCACTCCTTCCCATTGGGGCCCTCCCAAGCCTCCTTGGGATTTGTAGGCTCCCCCGGCATCTCCACCGGAGAGAAGAAGGCAAAGGCGCACTCCTCGCTTTCATCTTCCGCATCATCGCCTAGCATGAGAGCCGAACCGGTCAAGGTTGAGTTGGCTGGTCCTCCAAGCCGGTCATAGCTCAACCTATTAGGGGGCTGAGTCCTCCTTCTCCCCCTTCCTTCCTCCTCTGCTGCAGGGACTTGAATGCTCTCATGGCGTTGCGGTAAATCTGGTCGGTTCCCACGAGCACTTGTAGCACGAGGCGGAAGTGCCGGTGCACGCTCATCACCTTGCTGCACCTCCTCCTCCTCTTCTCCCCCATTCATTTGAGGAGATTGCCTTGTAATAGTGCTGCTGCTACTCAGCTCCAAGGGCAGCTCCACATGCTCCAAGCCGGTACTCTTCACCTCTCTGAGCCGCACACCAATCTTCGCTTGGTTCTCCGCCTTCCACTCCTTGTACGGTAAGTTCTCCATGAACTTGCAATCTCTGCTCACCAGGAACTTCTTGGTAAATGGGTCCCAAAGAAGCCATCCCTTGCTGTTTTGAGCCATGCCCAGGTGTACGGCCCATGTTGCCTTGGCATCAAGCTTGTTGTGCCGAAGTTTCTTAGGCACAAGTGCCATGCATATGCACCCGAACACCCGAAGCATATCCACCTTCGGCTTCCTTCCAATCCACTCCACATAGGGCACCCATTTGTCTTCTCCCACATGAGTCAAGGCTCTGTTCTTGGCCACACAAGCATGCCGCACCGCATCCGGCCAAAAGTAATTGGGAAGACCGGCTTCAATGAGAAGTCCCCGAGCCGTCTCCGTGAGTGTCCGATTCGCACGCTCGGCGATGCCGTTCATTGCAGGAGAGTAGGGCATGGTAAGAGAGTGCCTTATGCCCTGCTTCTTCAGCCAAGTTGAGAAATCCTTGCTCAGGAACTCTCCCCCACGGTCAGTGCGAATCGCCTTCACAAGTCGGTCTTGTTGCCGCTCCACCATCGGCAACCAATCGGTCTTCACAGTTTCAGCTACGTCACTCTTCTTGGGCAGCACATACACCCAAGTCATGCGAGTGTAGACGTCCACAATGGTGAGAAAGTACTCAGCTCCAGCAGCTCCAAGCTTCAAGGGGCCCACCACATCCATCACCACCTCATCAAGTGGTGCCTTCGCCGTTGTCTCCGAGCTATGGAACGGGTAGCGGGTGAACTTGGCTTGCATGCATGTTGGACAGCCAAGCACCTCATTGGGCTCCCCCTTGACACGTATCCCACTGACCATCTCTTGCTTAACAATCTGCTGCAAAATGGGCAATGCCACATGCCCCATTCGCCGATGCAAGGTCAGCCAATCACACTCTCCCGTAGCGGAAGTCGGGTTGGAGAAAGCGGCACTCGCAATCGTGCCCCACAAGCTCTCTCCTTTCTCCTTCGCCGCTGCTGCTTTGCTGATCTTAGGCTTCTCCTCCTCATTTCCACCACCTTTGGCTGCTGCACCACTCTCCTTGGGTTCACACGCCTTGCTGGTCTCTCCAAGGTTGCACTCCTTCGAGTCACTCTTGGTGTCACTTTGTTTTCCGTGATCACCGCCACCAACCGCTTCACTCTTGGTGCTGACGCTTGCTGCCACTTGCCTCCCCTTAGGCATGGGGACCACTGGGATTTGCCACATCTCATTGTAGATGTCCCTGTCCTCATGAAGGTCCCAAAGCTTCCGCTCACCAAGCCTCGCGGTATATGTTTTGGAGCCCTTGGAAGATGTGTCCATGCCGGCCTTTTGCAAACGCCGAACGGAAATCAGGTTGGCTGCAAGGTTGGGCACCCAAAGCACGTTCTTGAGGCCCACCATCTTCCCATCAGCACCCTTGAACATGGCCTTGCCCATGCCTTTCACCTCTGCTCGCTGCCCCAAAGCCGATGTAACATGCTTCACCGGCGACGGTTCGAGTTCGGTGAGCAAGTCCGCACGAGGTGTCATGCTGTAGGTGGCGCCGCTATCGATCACCCAAAAGTCCAGAGAGTGAAGGGTGACCTTTCCCACAGTTGCTGGCTCCTCAAAGCCTTCCACACCTCCTGCTGCAGCTGCCGCTTGCGTGGAGACAAAGAAGAATTGGCCCGGGTATCGATCTTCACTCGAGTCCTTGTCGTAGTCTCCACCTTTCATGCTTGCCGCTTCGCCTCCACGGCCACCACGGCCTCCACGACCTCTGCCTCTTCCTCCCCTTGCTCCTCTGCCCTCTTGGCCTTGAGAAGGGGTCCATCCATCAGGCAATCTGAAGCAATCTCTCCACATGTGGCCGGTCTTGTGACAAAAATGGCATTCGCCATCAAATCGACCGCGCCCACGCCCGTAGCCATTGTTGTTGTTGCTGCCATATCCTCCATTACCACGGCCTCCATTGAAGTTACTGCTGCCAAATCTTTCTCCTCGCCCTCTGCCTCTTCCACGGCCGTGCCCACGGCCCATGCTTGCAACTCCGGCACCATCGGGACCCGCCAATTCGCGACGGCGGAAATCTTCTTGTAAGATTTCCCGCTTCACATCTTCGAGTGAGAGACGGGGCAGATCTCGATTAAGGTTCATGATGAGCGAGGACCATGAGTCCAGAAGTAAGGCCAGCAGCTTGGTCTTCTTTTGAAGGTCACTGTAGTTTAGCTCAGCTCCTTCGAGCCGTGTCAACAAGTCGAAGAATTTCTGTACTCCTTCCTCCACCGGTTCGCCTTCGTCAATTCGAAGTGCTGCCATTTGCCGCTCCAAAACCACAGCTACCGCTGCTGTTGCAGGAGCATGTACACCCTTGAGAACAGCCCATGCCTTTGGTCCCTTTGCTGGTTCACGCTGAAAAGGCTTGATGTGACGGATTTGGCTGCTCCCCAACGCTTGCCCAAGTAGAAGGTAGCCTTGTGCGCTCTTCCGCACCCACGGGCTCTTCTCCGGGTCGTTCTCGGGGCGCTTCTCCGTTCCTTCCATCACCTCCAGCAGATCATAGTGGTCAAAGATGTTCTCCATCTTGAAGGACCACTCAGCAAAGTTGTCACCGTTGAACTTGTCAAGGCCAAACACTCTAGGCTCATCCCTAGAGGGTCCAAGGCTAGGTTGCACCGGAGCAATGGGTGGATCTTGGTGTTGACCTTGTGCTTGGGCGTCTTCTCTGCCTCCAGCACCTCTGCCACCCCCTTCCTCAGGTCTAGGCATGGTCGAGAAGGCTCCAAGGGGCTCTGATACCACTTGTTATAATCACAATAGGCTTAGATGTGCCTATAATGAGAGATAGAGAGCACAGTCGGATTTCCGTCAGACGGCTTCAAATATTGATTACGATCTGGTCACTGAATCAAACGGTGATCTGTAAGTTGGATCTGGAGTGCGTTGCTGTCGTCTATGAGCAGCAAGTTGAATCATGAAATTCCATGAAGATTTGACGACGCTATGGCGGTTTGACTGGCAGGAGGTATAGCAGCCACTATAGTCTTAGGAGTACAAACTTAGCAAGAAGAGTTCGAGAGGGAGATGGTTCCCAGCCTCTACATACCCCCAGAGCCGAGGTCCAGGTTGGTGGTACACCACCACAGAGTCCCCAACCATGAAGAGTCTCGAAACCAACCCTCCAAGGGGCTACACCAAGTGAAATGTAACACTACACGAAGTAGCGTTACTATTTTCACTATTTAATATTTATCCGCGTCCCTTGGGCTTGAAATCTTGAGCTCTTGTTCTTGGATCTGCAAGATAAATTCTTCTTGAGTTGATGGGGGCTTGCTGCACACACCTGCGACACGATGGACACTTCACACTCGACAAAATAGAAAAAACACATGCGACACACAAACGACGACTTGACATGCGAGTTGTAGAAACTCGCTAATGTCTTGACCGACACAAACCACATTGTGATACACCATTCAAACACACACACAAGCACTGGATAGCAATGACATAGACTCACAATTCATTCCATGCCATGCATGCACACACACAATCAAGGACGACAAGCCGAGTGCAAGCCATAGGGTTGCACCAACAGCGACAGGCGGGGCAGGGACAAGGAACTGAGGAGGATGAGGCACAGGAGTGCTGCAGTGTGGGAAGCGCCGGTAGTAGGGGAGTGTCTAGTCAAAGCTAACGTCACGAGAGTGGTAAAAGCGGTGGTGTGACGGGTGGTAGAACAGCCCGCCAGAGGCGTCAAGCGTAAACCCCAAGAAGACACAAGGAAGGGTGCGGGCTAAGAGCTTGTTCGCGCCGGACATGAGCAAGGCTGCCCCAGACGAAGAACGTAGACGCTACTAGGTGATCCGGTATAGAGGAGGGTCGGCGAAACCTGTGGCTGCTGGGAGTGCGGCCACAGGTTAAGCTGGTGAGCAGCGTAGTGCACGGCGAACGGCCACAGAAAATAGGGTGCACCAGTGTGGACCATGGAGGTGCGAGCCACCTCAATGATCAGACCGATGCTTCGCTCAGCGACCCCATTCTGCTGTTGGGATTCCGGCAGTGTGTACGTCTGGCGGATGCCCTCCGCACGACAGAACCGTCCTAGAGTGCCAGAGGCGAAATTGCCACCTCGGTCTGAGTGTAAGCGACCTACAAGCAGGTGGTGGTGGGTGCAAACAGTGAGAAGCCACAGGAGGAGAACGGTAGGCACGTCGGCCTTCCGCTCCAACGGGAACACTGTGGTGAAGCGCGAGAAGTTGTCAACGACGACTAGAAAGTAGCGCTCTCGACTCAGACCATGGACCGGGGCACGGCCCCAGACGTCCATGTGGAGTGTCTATAGCGGTGCTGTGGTAGGAGGAAACGAGGAGGAGTGAGGGGTGGCGCGCTGCCGGCCCTCGACGCAGGACGTGCTTAGTGGCGCTACCGACGTAGGCAGAGTGGGGAGCGACGCAGGGAGACCAGTGGCGAGACCGTGTTGGGACATGGGCCATAGACGCGGGAGTGCAAGGTGACCTAAGCAGTGGTGCCACAGTAGGGTCGATTATCGTATGGAGCGGCAGGAGCAAGACGCGGCAACTATGGCAGACGCAACAGTCGGAGGGGACTCACTCTGCAGTGTAAAGAGACCGGAACCTAGGTTACGCTCAAACGTGGCCAAGTGCCGACTGGTGGTTGTATCTGTGCAAGCGGCGTGTCTCTCGCGTCCAGTGTCACAGTATCGAATGTCTCGAGGAAAGATTGCATTATCGATGAATACAAGGCGCTTTTATACTTCCAGAGTACATCAGGTAACCAGGTTTATCCTATCCAAGGGAATAGACCCTTCTAGAAAATAGAATCACCCTGCGTATAGCCACACGAGGCTATTGGCTTTAAGGGATTATGCTAGATATAGCGCGCCAGTACATCCCAAGCCTGGTCGGTGATATAATTATAATAGCAGGATAAACCAAGGGATAATGGAAAATGGAGAAGAGGAAACCAAATAAGATGAGATAAAAAGAGAAATGAAATAGGAAGGAAATAACGAAAGGCCAAGTGGTGTAACGGGGTCGTACTCTCACACTTCCACCCCTCAAAGCTGGGTGGTAGAAGTAACACCCTGCTTGACAAGGTAGTCATGCAGAGGACGACGGGCGTTACCCATGTCGGTCTCAGGTACCCAGCTGTCCTCAAAAGGATCATACCCCTTCCAACGAATAAGAAGCTCCATGGTGCCATTCCGACGACGGCGGTGTGCAAGCACGGACTCGACCTTGTACTCGGGTTCATTCTGGACGAGGACGGGCGGCGGCGGCGGCGGCGGTTGGCGTCCGACAAAGATCGTGTTCGGATCCCAATAGGGCTTCAGAAGTTGGACATGGAAGGCGTTGTGAATCTTCTATGTAGCTGGCAGGCGTAAGCGGAAGGTAACAAGAGTGACATGTGCTTCAACGAGAAAAGGCTCGCAGAAGCGAGGTCGCAGTTTAGATGGGAGATGGCGGATGTTAAGGTTGCGGGTGTCAAGGAGCACCTGGTCTCCTACAGTGATGGTGTGGTCGTTGCGATGGCGATCGGCCTGGCGCTTCTGTTGCTGCGGAATGTCGAGGAGGCGCTTGTGGGTCCGATCCCAAAGCTGATGCATGGTTGTGATGAAATCGTATGCAGGTTGGACTGTAGCGGATGTTGTCGGTTTCTGTGGGGTGAGTGGGTGGCGTCCGTAGCAGAGGAAGAACGGCGTTTGTCCAGTAGCGGCATGTGTAGCGTTGTTGTACGCAAACTCTAGAACGGGCAGGTGCAAGTCCTATTTGGAGATCTCGTCCTTGCAGGCTGCTCGGAGGAGTTGCTCGAGAATCTGGTTGAGGCGCTCGGTCTGTCCGTCTGTCTGCGGATCGTAGGTGAATGACATGGCGAGTTTGATCCCGAGTAGAGACATGAGTTCCTTCTAGAACTTGCTGTTGAACTTGGGGTCTCGGTCGGAGATGAGTGTGGTTCAAATGCCATGCTGTGAGATGATGTATCGAACGAAGAGTTGTGTTGTCTCATCGGTGCGTGCTGTCGTGTGTGTCGGGATGAAGTGTCCCATTTTGGAGAATTTGTCGATGACGACAAGGATTGCGTCATGACCGCTGGTGGTAGGTGGTAACTCGGTGACGAATTCCGGGCTAACCACTTGCCCTGGCTGTTCTGGGACAGGAAGAGGCTGCAGTAGTCTCACCTTCCTCTGTTTGCTGCTCTTCATCCGCTGACATGTATCACACGAGGTGACAAATTTCTGAACATCTTCTGCCAAGTGGGGCCAGTAGTAGTGCTTTGCAATACCGGTCAGCGTCTTGTTGCTACCGAAGTGTCCGGCATAGAGGACGTCGTGGTATTCTTCGAGTAGTAACTGGCGCAAAGGAGGGTAATTGGGTACCCAGATTTTCGTTGATCCTTTCTGGTACGCGATGTCACTGTACCACTGTAGCAGAGTAGGAGTTCGGGGTTTTTGCAGCTTCTTGTAGACCCCCAGCTTCCTCTTGAGCTGCTTCAGCTCCACCGACGTCTTCCCTGGGGAACGGGTAGTCGTTGTGGGCTGGTGTCGGGAGAGGACGTTGACTCCGTGGAATTTTCTTCCCCAAGTTGTCTGGAACCGGCATTGTCTCCACATTTTTCTGCTTCTTTTGGAGTCCCTCCCGGAATTTCTCCAAGGCTCTAGCCCCTTGAGAATCATAAGTTTTGACGAAGTTGATTTTCCTGGAATTTGATACCCGATACTCTGCGCGTGCGGCTTTCATTTTGTTGCTGTCGAAGATTCGATGGCCCAGCACCCTGCAAATATCACACGTGTAGTTGGTGGTTTTCGGACGTGGCCGCCCGTCGAACCTGTCGATTTCCATCGGGTCGGCAAACGTGGTGTGAGCCGAGCGGTCGCCCTGTCGCGTACTGCCGACGTGCGTCCGTCGTATCCCAGCGTTGGCCATATCGAAGCGCTACGCTGCCGAAACGACGTCACTGTAGCTCGCGTAATTCGTCGCTGCTACCTGTCGTTTGACTTCGGTCTTCAGCCCGGCGAGGTAGGACTGTACTTTTTCCCCTTCGGTTTGGTCGGGAATTCGGTTATAAAATTCTTCCATCTGCTGCGTGTACTGCGCTACACTCCCGAACAGTTGATGTCGATGATTTTTTTCCCGGGCAAGGAAACTCGAATTTATTGGCTCGAAGCGTTTCAGTAGGTCGGTGCGGAACTGCTGCCACGTGGCTTCACCGTGGATGAAGGTGTTGTTGCCGCCAATCCACTCGAGTGCCGGCCCTCGCATCAGCGTCGCCGCGAGTCGTACGCGTTGTCCGTCCCAGACTGGCGAGCTCCATCCGACGGCTGCGAAGTAGATCTCCATCCCGGCAATCCATCTGCTTGTGTCGGAGTTTCGATCGCTCGGATCGAACGGCTCAGGTGGGCGCGGTTTTGGAGCCTCGAGAATCTGCTGTGACTGCTGCGTCGTCACCGTTGTCGAGTCGTGCTGCGCTCCGGTGAGTCGAGTTACCCGCTCGAACTCGTTTCGCCACGCTTGGCGATCCGCTCGCATCTCCTCTTGAAGGGCTGCGATGCTCGCGAGGAGCTGCTAGGTAACCTCGGCGTTGTCGAAGGTCGTCATCCTGTTCAAAACACGCGCGGGGGGGGGTAATTCACAAAACTCGGAGCTGGTGCTTACCAGAATCGGCGTCGAATTCGTCGGCCCCGGCGATTTTTCGAGGCAGGTTTTCCCGCTGCTGCTGCTTTGTTGAGCACGGCCGAGTGAGAACAGCTCTGATTACCAAGTGTCACAGGATCGAATGTCTCGAGGAAAGATTGCATTATCGATGAATACAAGGCGCTTTTATACTTCCACAGTACATCAGGTAACCAGGTTTATCCTATCCAAGGGAATAGACCCTTCTAGAAAATAGAATCACCCTGCGTATAGCCACGCGGGGCTATTGGCTATAAGGGATTACGACATGATTACGCTAGATATAGCGCGCCAGTACATCCCAAGCCTTGTCGGTGATATAATTATATAGCAGGATAAACCAAGGGATAATGGAAAATGGAGAAGTGGAAACCAAATAAGATGAGATAAAGAGAAATGGAATAGGAAGGAAATAAGGAAAGGCCAAGTGGTGTAACGGGGTCGTACTCTCACATCGAGGGAACGTAGTGGTGACGCCTCGGTCCTAAAGGTGACCGACACTTACTAGGTTCCTGGCAAACAAGGGGATTGTGCAGACGGCTGAGGGAGCAGGAGGGGACAGCTAGGCAGGGGAGAGTGATGGTGCTATGTACGACAGCTATGGCGGAGGAGTCTGCTAGTGTGATGCGGACGAGCGCAGGAAGTGGGGTGAGAGCAGTGCTGCCCCTAAAGAAACAACGAGACGCGCCCGAGTCAAGGACAAAAGAGAGGGCCGCCGCAGGAGGGGTAGGGGAGGAGCCTAGGGGACATGTAGTAGAGGCTCCTAGACTAGATAGAATAGTGGGACATAGACCCCCAGGCCCCAAGGACCCCGGTCCTCCAGAGAAACCACACTGGCCCCAGGGCAATGACCGGCCCGAGGCAGCACCTCCAAAGCCTCCACCTCGCACAGCACCCCCAAGACTCCACTTTGGCTGCTGCTGCTGCTGCTGCTGCTGCCTCTGTTGCTGCTGTGGTTGCTACTGCTGCTGCAGCTGCAGCACTGGCCAGAGAGCTCAGAAGCAAACGTCGAGGTCGTGGAGCCAGAAGCCTAGGAGGTAACTAATGTGATCCTCTAGGAGCATCCAGTCTAGGTGCGGGCTCACTAGCTGTAGACGGTTGGCGAGAAATTGGAGAGCAGAGGGAAGTGACCGGCGGTCTGGCCAAGGGACTGACCTGAACGAAGCCATCATGCCAAAAGGAGAGGCGTAGAAGAACTCTTAAAATGAGGAGGAGACTAGTGGGAGGTGTAGGTGCTAGAGGAGTACAATCGGAGGTAGTAGCAGTGGTGAATATGGCAGGAGCGAGCACGAGGCTAGTAGCAGCAACGGATAGTGAGAGTATGACGGCATTAGTTGCTAGTTGGCGGCTGGCGGTAGGCTAGGAGTTGTTAGGGGGAGTGGGGAGCAAACGAGGAATTAGTACGCGCGAGAGGATCTACTAGGATCAGTACACCAAGGAGCTAGCTAGGAGGCACTAGGACTGGCGGCAAAAGACGAAGGACAGTCCACAGGGCACGGGGGAGTCACGTGGCAGACAGCTGACTGGCGACTGGCAGCTGGCAGTCGGCTGCCGCTGGCGGCTGGCAGTCAGCGGTTGGCCTCGAGTGGTGGCAGCTGGCTGCTGACGGCTGAGGGTCAGCAGTCAGCTGCTGGCGGCTGGTGACTGGTTCTGGCGGCAGATGGCCGGCTGCTGGAGGCCAAAGCTGACGGTGGGCAACAGCAGTAGCAACAGGAGTAGCTGCAGAGGTAGAGGCGGCTGTAGCGGCAGCGGCGACAGTGGCTGCAGTGGCGGCAGAAGTGACTGCTGTAGTGGTGAATGCAACGATAGTGGGCGGCAGTAGGTAGCAGGGGGGCGGTAGCGGGCAGTAGTAGCTGCACTAGTGGCAGTGGGTGGCATCAGCCGGCGCTGGCTGCTAGCTGCCGGCAGTGGGCTGCTGGCTGCTAGCAGTGAACTGTTGGCGGCTAGCGGTTGGCTCTGGCTGCTGGTTGGTGGCGTTGGTGAGTCACCAAGCTGGCTGCTGGCTGCTGGCGTTGGCTGCTGGCTCTGCTGGCTACTGGCTACTGGCTGCTGGCTGCTGGTGCTGGCTACTGGCGCTGGCTGGCGATAGCGAGCTAGCTAGTGCTGGTTGCTGGCGCTGGCGACACTGGCTGCTGGCTGCTGGTGCTGGTGGCGCTGGTGAGCCAGCGAGCAGGCGACCGTGCGAGCTGGCGAGCAGGCGGGCTGGCGGGCTGGCGAGCATGCGAGCAGGCGGGCTGGCGAACAGGCGAGGGTGCGAGCTGTCGAGCAGGTGGGCTGGCGGGCTGGCGAGCAGGCGAGTGTGCGAGCTGGCGAGCAAGCGGGCTGGAGAGCAAGCGGGCTGGCGGGTGTCAGAACTCAGCCACTAACCACTGAGTTAAAAGGGCTTTTTAATAGCGGGTCAGTGCGCCCATACCCCCCAGGCTCAGCACCTGTGGCCCTTCCCCGAGGATCTTCTCAAAGGTAACCCTAGCGGTTCATTCGACACCCCCCTTCGCTGGGAGAGGTGGAAGACACGAGCGCCTCTAGGTCGCTAGCATTGGGAATTGAACGCAAATCACCAACGCTCTGATACCATGTGAGTATCAAAATCAGAGAAGTGAATAATAGTAGAGTGAGAGTACACACAGATATACCTAAGTATTGTACCCTCTAAGAAGTGACCCTATACAGACTATACAAACATGGCAAATACACATGTTTGACACACCCCCTAGACTGCATAGGGGAACGTCCTAAACAAGCAGCTCAGGGCGGCACTACTAGTCCAACCTCTGAGACAAGGGTCTGAGAGACCAGTCAGAAGGAGTACAAACAAGGCAAGAACAAGAGCAGGGCGGCACTACTAGTCCAGCCACTGGGAGAGGACACAAGTCCAGTCTGAGTATACATATAAAGGACAGTACAAAGTCAAGGTCCTAGCAAGTGAGAGGCTACAGGAACTAGACCAAGCTGTACACAGTGCCGCTGATGATCTTTAGGCGCAAGTGCCTTCGTAAAGATATCAGCCGTGTTGGCACCTGAGGCCAAGTGTACTACGCGAGCCGGACGTCGCTGCTGTAGCTCACGCAGGAGGAAGTACCGCAGCTGAATGTGCTTCGCTCTGCCCTCGAGTCGAGGCTCCTGACACAGGAGGATCATGGCCCTGTTGTCAGCGAACAGGACTGGGGCAGAGCTAGGCCGCTCACCTAAATCAGTGAGCAAGAAGGTCAGCCAGCGGAGCTCCTGTGCCGCCATGGCACCAGCGTAGATCTCAGCCTCACAGCAGGACTGGGCAACAGACAAGGAGCGGGTAGCTCTCCACGAGACGGCACCTGAGCCAAGGCTGAAGCAGTAGCCCTGGGTAGACCTGGGGAACCGTACCAGTGAGGAGGACGGGGCCGGGGCAGGGACGAGCGCAGGGGCCGGGCCGGTGCGATGGGGCCGGGCAGGTGCGACAAGGCCGGGCGAGGGCGACGGGGCCGGGCGGGCGCGACGGGGCCGGGCGGGCGCGACGGGGCCGGGCTAGTGCGACAGGGCCGGGCCGGGGCGACGGGGCCGGGCGAGCGCGACGGGGCCGGGCTGGTGCGACGGGGCCGGGCCGGTGCGACACGGCCGGGCCGGTGCGACGGGGCCGGGCGAGCGAGACGGCGGCCCAGGAGGGGAACGACGGGGCCAAGGAGGGGCGCACCGGGGCTGGGCGGGCGCGACGGGACCGGGCGGGTGCGACGGGGCCGGGCGGCTGCGACGGGGCCAAGCAGGGTGCGACGGGGCCGGGCGGGCGCAACGGGGCCGGGCTGGTGCGACGGGGCCGGAAGGCGTGACGGGGCCCAAGAGGGGCTCGACGGGGCCCAGGAGGGGCGCTACGGGGCCCAGGAGGGGCGCTACGGGGCCCAGGAGGGGCGCTACGTGGCTCAGGAAGGGCGCTACGGGGCCCTGGAGGGACGCGACGGTGCCCAGGAGGGGCGCTACGGGGCCCAGGAGGGGCGCGACGGGGCCCAGGAGGGGCGCTACGAGGCCCAGGAGGGGCGCGACGGGGCCCAGGAGGGGCGCTACGGGGCCCAAGAGGGGCGCGACGGGGCCCAGGGGGTCGCGACGGGGCTAGGGGCGAGGCACGGCGGGGCCTAGCTAGGGGGGCGAGCGGAAGCGGTAGGTGGGGGGGATCCTAACCTACGCGTGATACCATATCAAAATCAGAGAAGTGAATAATAGTAGAGTGATAGTACACACAGATATACCTAAGTGTTGTACCCTCTAAGAAGTGACCCAATACAGTCTATACAAACATGACAAATACACATGTTTGACAGTGAGAACTCAACCACTAACCACTGAGTTAAAGGGGCTTGTTAATAGCGGGTCAGTGCACCCATAGCCCCCCAGGCTCTGCACCTATGGCCCTTCCCTGAGGATCTTCTCAAGGGTAACCCCAGCGGTTCACTCGACAGCGGGCAGGCGAGCAAGCGAGCAGGCAGGCGGCCGAACGGGCGAACAGGCAAGCATGCGAGCTGGCGAGCGTGCAGGCTGGCGGGCTGGCGATGAGGCGAGCAAGAGGGCTGGCGCGGGGTGGGACGGCTACGGGCGCGGGCTGGCTAGGGAGCTGGCGGGTGCGGGCTGGCTGGCGAGCTGGCTAACGGGTTGGCTAGCTAGCTTGAGCGTTGGCTGGCGAGCTCGCTAGCGTGCGGGCTGGCGTGCTGGCCTGCTGACTACCGCACGAACAAATCAAATGCTACGGGGGGAGGGGGGGGGGGGGGGGGGGGGGGGGGGGTGGGGGGGGTTACGAAGCGCGAAATTGGACGGCAGGGGGGTGCGCGAAATGGAAAGCTACACTAACGGAGGAAGCGTGAGGAACTGCTGAAAATAAGTTAGCTCAAGATAGCCTAGCTCTAAATTAGATACGTCATGTTTGTATTACAAGGCTAGCATTTATTGACAAGACAAAGTGAGATTCATCATGTGGATCACAAGAACCCAGGGCATACTAAGCTCCATGCAGCATGCCCAGTATCGTATATCACCTATGCCACATGATAAAACACACCATGCCGCACACAACTAAAATGACACACCCCTACTATAAATTATACTAGATGCCAGAACTGCCGTGAGATCGTGCACAAACTAGGACCGAAGAACGCGAAGCAGCCATGGAGAGGTCGGAGGAATCATTGGAAATGCGAAGCAAGCACTCTAGTTGGCCCACACGCTGAAGAATTCCGCGTCACTGGAAGCAGCGACTTGAGAAGCGTCGAACGCGTCAAAGTCGTCAATCATGTCGCGGAAGATGCTCTCCGTGCTGTCGATCGGCGCCAGGTCCGCCAGCAGCGCATCCAAGCACTCCGCACCCTCGCTGCTCGTGTCGCTCTCCGTCGCCTCCACCTTCACTGCAGTCATTGCGGGCGACGGTTCCAGAAGGGGAATAGTCGCTGGGGACACGGGAGAAGCGGGGGAAGCGGGGGACGAGGGGGAGGCGGGGGAAGGAACTGAGAGCGACAGGCCGGCGGTCTGGACGGTCTGCCCGTGGAGCGACTTCTCGAGAGCATCGGCAATTTCCGACGTGTCAAACATCTTTGCGGCCTCGCGACTCGCCTTCAGCAGCGTCTCAGCCGTAGCGGGCGGCAGCGGGACCAGTTGGAAGCTGCCGGGGAAGTTGAGCGATGCCTTGGAACCGCGGAGAAGGCGGGCGGCGACGTCGTAAGCGCGGGCAGCGTCCTCGGGGGAGTCGAAAGAGCCGAGCCAAATGCGCGTGCGCTTGCGGGGCTCGCGGATTTCCGACACCCACTTGCCCCACTTGCGCTGGCGCACGCCCTTGTAACGCGGGCCCTGGTCGCGCGCGGGGGTGCACGCGCCAACGTCGGAGTCAGAATCCTTGTCGTCTTCCTCCGACGACCACGTGGCAGCATCGAGCGAAAGCGGCTCCTGTTTGGCGCGCTTTCCGCGGACGGCCTTGGCGGAGTCGCCGCCACGAGAGCGCTTGCCGGCGAAGACCTTCTGGAGCACGGGCAGAGACGACGGGTGGGAGCCCTCAGACGACGCGGGGGACGGCGCGAAGGATGTTGCGGCGGACGCTGAGGGGGAGGATGCGTAGAGCGTAGCGGGCGCGTCGTGCGCGATGAGCGGGTGGGGTGCGAGGAGCGGGGCGGAGAGCGGAGCCGGAGGGAGAGTGTGGGGAGCGGGGGCGGCGAAGGCAAGGGCGGACTGCAGCTGCTGGAGATTCTCGACCTGCACGCGCTGCTGCTGCTGCAGGTTCCGCTGGTTCTGGCTGACGGCATCGACGAGGCGCACGAGGCCCATTATCGCGTTCTGCGCCGCCAGAAGAGCATTGCCGAGCGCCGCCTCGCCATCAACGGGAGGGTCGACGAGGGGGGAGAGCGGGGAGAGGGAGAGAGACTGCTGTTGCTGGTACTGCTGGAACTCCATTGCTCAGAGGTTTGTCGTAAGAGTTGAAGAAGCCGGTAGAGCGGTTGAAGAGGACAGGCACAGAATTTCAGAATGACAGCTTCAACGAGGGAGGAGAGGCCAACGAGCTGATTCGGAGCTTTTTCCAGGGGACGTTGAAGGGAGATTTCTGAGGGAGGTTAAAAGAAGTCTCCAGGGGACGTTGAAGGGAGATTTCTGAGGGAGGTTAAAAGAAGTCTGAGGAAAGAGAAGGGGGTGTAGAAGGGTCTTTAAGGGAAGTAAGGAGGCAAGTCGTAGCCTACTTACTCCGCTAAAAGGACATCTCCTGCCTAGCGGCGGAGAGATGTCAGTTTAGCAGAGAAGAGGAACGAAACGCGCGAAGCTACTTAGGGAACAAAACCGCAGAGCGACGCAGGATCGCAATGTCAGAGCGCTTGTAGAGAGCAGGTGAAAGCTTTGAAATGTGAGCACGAAGTCAGGAATTAGATGACAAGCTGTGATATATTTGCAGAGAGAAGGGGGGGGAGGGGCCAAGGTGCTGAGGTTGGGGATTGCCAGCTGGAGGGTGGAAGAAGTGGTTGGATGGGATGGATGGGAGGGAGCAGAGGAGATGGCGGGAATGAAACTCCAAGGAAGGAAGCAGGAAAACCAAACCAAACCCTAAGGCAATTGGGAGGCAGGAATCGCGCCGATGATTGCGGGAAGGGGGGCTTCCTCCGGAGGTTTTGCGCAACCAAGATTCTCTAGAGGGATCAACGGGATGCGGAGCGGATGTGCTGCTGTGCTGGGGAAGTCGCGCGGGCAAAACCAGGAGAGAGGGGGGACGTGTGCGAGCCTGGGACACGAGATTGAGCCCTCCGCCACTCCCGGAGTGGCGCTCCGCGCGAGAAGCATGTGGGGCTGAAGCGGGACACTTTACGAGACCCGCGACGCGAGTCTGTTACGCGCGCTGCTTGCCTTTGGACCACAGCGTCACGTGAGTCGCGTGACTCAGCAAGCAGGCACTCGCTCACATCTCTGGGGCAGCCACAAAAATAAGCGATGACGTATTGGTGAAGGATTGAGGGCCTCCAACCCAGGGAAGTTCACATAAACCTAACCTGGCTTGGCGGCCCTCAAACTTTCACCCAACAGTCCGAACTTTTCTTCAAATAACGGACGAACTGTAACTGATGTAAACAAACATCCATCCATCCACCCCTCCAACCCACTGGCCCAGATGAAGCCAACGGGTCCGAGTTGGGTTTACAAGCAGGCCAGGCCAATAGCCATCCATCCAGCTCCAACACTGTACAGAACAACCGTGTGTGGCGGCGGGCAGGAAGAAAGCCATTCCCTCAAGGCAGCTATTCGTTTGAAGATAAAACTACTGTATCAAAGAATGGCTCTGAGGTAAAGAAAAATAATGAACTAAGAGATTGGATGAAGATTGACCTATGTCAAACAATGAAATAAACATACTGGTAGTTCACAACCATCTCTTAACTACTTTGCATCGTTGAATATAGACTCCACAACTGTGACGGCTGCCGCCCGAGCTGCGATGTCGCCTGCCATGGCATGCTCCTCAAAGTACCGCATTAGCCCCCGAAGCTTGCCTCCCGACCTAAACCTGCAGAGCGGAGTCAAATTGAACCACGTGAGATATTGTCACATCAAGGCATAACCAACGTGATTGTGAAGGGCGATACTGTCACGTTGTTACGGTAAGACCACACATGGATCACAAAAACTCACTTGTACAGTATTTCTGCCTCCACACTGCTCCACAGTAGTGCCTTGCTCTGAGCGCCCCTCAGCTGCTTCAGCTCCCCTGACGCCCGCATGGCTTCCTGGAACTTGCCTATCTTCTTCCACACGTCCTCTATGCCCAGCCCCGTGCGTGTGCTGCACGCCACCACCTGGGGGAGGCGAGGAGAGAGGGGAGGAGGGCACATGATAATCACAGGGGCGCAGAGTGGTACTTCGCCCCACGTGCGTTGCACTAAATCATCTGGAAACGAAAAGAACGGAAGATAACAGGGGGAGCACGGAAACACACTACATTCTACATGTGTGGTGCATGCATGTGTCGTGCATCAAGACAATCCACCCTCCAATCCCTCACCGGAGTCATCCAGAAGTCGTAGCGCGGGTGCACGAAGTGCAGCGCGCTGCTGTACTCCCCGACTGCTGCAAGCGCCGGGCCCTCCATGGCGCCATCCGCCTTGTTCACCACCACCAGGTCCGCCACCTCCACCACTCCTGGCGTTGGGGGATGGGGGGAGCACAGATAGGAAATGGAAGTAGGGGTGTGAGGGATTGATGCACATCACGCATCGAGGCCCCTCCATGGCGCCATCCGCCTTGTTCACCACCACCAGGTCCGCCACCTCCACCACCCCTGGCGTTGGAAAGAGTTGCACAGGGGAGATAGAATATTGGGTTGGCAGTGGTGGCTGTGTCTAATCTAATCATCCCTCCATGGCGCCATCCGCCTTGTTAACCACCACCAGGTCTGCTACTTGCAACACTCCTGGCAGTGGGGGAAAGGGATGCAGGGGGGAACAAACGTTGGGTTTGTGTGGTGGTGGCTGCGTCTGAAATTGTGCCTCCATGGCTCCATCCGCCGTTAGGGTAGGAAGTTCACCACCACCGAGTCTGCTACCTCCAAAACTCGCACCTTCCTCGGTTCGTTCCCTCGCTCAGCTCGCACCTTCCTCGGTTGACTCATCCCTCACCCTTCTTGATGCCCTGCAGCTCGTCCCCCCCTGCGGGCGGCAGGATGAGCAGCACCATGTCCACGATCTGAGCCACTGCCACGTCAGCCTGCCCGCCGCCCACCGTCTCCACCATCAGCACGTTGCACCCGCTGGCCTGCACATGGGGGGACGGGTACGAGGATGCATGCCGGGGTAGATGGATGCATGACGGGGTAGATGGATGCATGGGGGGGACGAGCTGCACCCGCTGGCCTGCACGTGCATGCACGTGCGGGCGCGAGGATGCATGATGGTCGAGGCACACTGCACGGGTGCATGAGGCACAGTGCATGGGTGCATGAGGCACACTGCACGGGTGCATGAAGCACACTGCACGGGTGCATGAAGCACACTGCACGGGTGCATGAAGCACACTGCACGGGTGCATGAAGCACACTGCACGGGTGCATGAAGCACACTGCACGGGTGCATGAAGCACACTGCACGGGTGCATGAGGCACAGTGCACGGGTGCATGAGGCACACTGCACGGGTGCATGAAGCACACTGCACGGGTGCATGAGGCACACTGCACGGGTGCATGAGGCACACTGCACGGGTGCATGAGGCACACTGCACGGGTGCACGAGGCACACCGCCCACCGTCTGGGCGTTGCACCCACTGGCGTGCACACATGCGTGGATGCATCAGGGAGCGGCATGAGTGGCAATCAGCACCTTGCACCCACTAGCGTGCATGTGCGTGAAAAGGCATGGATGCATGGTAAAGGCATGGATGTATGGTAAAGGCGTGGATGCATGGTAAAGGCATGGATGCATGGTAAAGAGCATCATTCCCCCTCCACCCTCACGCCCCCCGCACGCATTCCCCCCACCCACCTCGCACAGCACGGCAGCATCCGCTCTGTTCCTCCTCGCCAGCCCCCCCATCTCCCCTCTTGAGGGCGTGGGGCGGATGAAAGCGGAGGGGTGCCTCTTCCTCATGACCACTCTCCCCTCAAACGCACGCCGCACAGCACGGCGGCATCAGCCGTGTCCCTGGCTCCGCTCTTTCTACCACCCCATCCGCCCCACCCACCCACCCACCCACCTCGCACAGGAGAGCAGCGTCAGCTGTATTCCTTGCGAGCCCGCCCATCTCCCCTCTGGAGGGCGTGGGGCGGATGAAGGCGGAGGGGTGCGCGGAGAGCTTCTCCATGCGCGTCTTGTCGCCCAGGATGGAGCCCCCGCTGTTGTGCGACGACGGGTCGATCGCTAATACAGCTACTCTGTTGCTGGTCTCGACAGCGTGCATGCCCAGGCCTGCAAAGGAACGGGTGCGGCGGGTGTGGAGCAGGTGGGCACACAGGGCGTGGTGAGACGAGCGGGGCGGGCAGAGAGCTTCTCCACGCCCTGTGTGGCAAGGGAGGCAAGGCGAGGCGGTGCAAAAGCGGGGGCTCCATGACCGCCTTGCCTCCCTTGATGGAGCCCCCGCTGTTGTGGCAGGACGGGCCGATGGCCAGCACGGCCACCCTGTTGCTGCTCTCCACGGCGTGCATGCCCAGACCAGACCTGCACGGACCAGGGGTGGGGGAAAGAGGGGGAGAGGAGGGGAGGCGGAGGCACAGGAGGGCTTCTCCACGCGGCTGTCCACAGCGCTGCATGCATGCCCACGCGTGCCAGCCAGGGATTGGGGGATCAGGGAGAGGGGGAAGGCAGGGTGTGGGGGAGGGTGGGGAGAGGGCGGGGATACATGGACTGGTGGCACGGGAGGGGTGCGCGGAGAGGCTCTACATGCTGCTGTCCGCCGCATGCAAGCCTGGGCGTGCAAGGGAGAGGGGGGGTAACGAGAGGGGAGAGCCCAGACGCTTTAGAGTCACGCGCGAGGTGATGGGGATGAGACAGCACGTGCGAGGTTGACTGTGACGATGGGGAAAAGGGAAGCTACAGTGGCGGCCGCCACAGCCACTCTGCTCAATTTCCCCGCTCCTCCTCCTCCAAACCTCTTCTCCTTCGCCCCCTTCCTATTCCCGACCACACGCACGTTCGATCAGCGACGATTTCCCCGCGCCCGGCGGCCCCGTGATGCCGATCTTGAATATCCCCCCATTCCCCGCGCCGTTCGCGATCTCCGCCTGCGCGCGCCGCGAGCGCACCGCCTCCAGCACGTGCTGCAGCAGCGCGGCGGCCTGCGGGCGGTGCGAGTCGCGCACGGACTCGCAGAGCGTGATCGCGCGGCTCAGCGCGTGCAGGTTGCCGCCCAGCACGTCGTCTGCGAGCTGCGCGAATCGCGGCTCGAGCGGCGGCAGATGGAGCTTCGGATTGGAGGAGAACGAGCGGGGGAACGCGGGGCGCGGAGCGGGGGATGCGGGGGACGCGGAGGATGCGGGGGAGAGGGTGTTGGCGAGAGCGGCGTGGATCGCGGTGGGATTGGCGCTAGGTAGCGATCGCTCGGCAGTCCCGCGTCTGGCGGCGCAGAGGGCGCCAGACGCGCATCGAGAAGCGGCGGTTCGCCACATGATGTCAGCGCAGGACGAAGCGTTGCTTGCGGTGTCGAAATGACGCAAGTCGAACGCACTGCCTTGAGCCGCACCGCACGACTGGTGGAATGACGCAAGACGACCGTCTTATGTATTTATGGAGCGGGTGGAGCAGAAGTGGACGTGAATTCGTTCTGGTCAACGGGTGAAGCAAAAAGCGAGGAGACTGGTAACGAACCACGAGCCACGCGGTGAGTGGTGGCTGATTGGATCTTTTCGGCTAGCCGGCTTCACGACGAGCCACGTGTACTGCAACTTCCTGGATCCAGGGATCTGGGATCTCTCCGTTAACAGGCGTACCCGCTAGTAAAGACTAGACCTTCAAGATCTGACCAGCTAAGCACACCTATATTACCGTTGAAATACAAAAAATGCAACATTAGTGAGTTTGGCTCAATAAAACATTACGACGAACAGCAACAGCTTCAGCAGCCCTTTGTGCTATTCTTTCATAATCTTGCCGCTTAATCGCCTCCTTTTCGAATATGGCTTCTGACAACACGACCGCGGTGGCCCCCGCCTTCAAATACCCCTCTATCAAGCCTGCAGGAGACGCACCAAAATGAAGACGTAAGCGTAAGAACGCATGAGGTCCGATCGCAATTGCAGGACATCAAGGTATGCTGGCTAAGGCATGGGAGGGAGATGGTGGGAGATGGAGGGAGATGTCACAACTTCATGCATGTCCCGTGCATCAGATGCCCATCATGGCATGCTCGACTGTGATCACTCTGTGTGGGTCGTATGTGGCTCACCCAACTGAATGCCGTGTGCCGGCACGATCCCTATGGACGGTGCTGCTCGGTGCATGGCCCTCACTAGAGCCTCGCCACCTGCATAGGGCGCTGGGAAGAGCTGTTGAGGGAGGAGGGGGGAGTGGGGGAGGGGGGAAGAAAGAGCTAGATGCATCATGGTACACATTGAATGAAATCGCACATGACTGGCCATGATAACTTGGTGATGCACTGATGCATGGCATGGCATATGGCATGGTCAGTCATGGCATGGCACATGTGGCATGTCCTCACCTTGACAAGAGGAGCCCCAAGTCGAGTGGCTGAGAGGATCTGAGAGCAACAGCAGGAGTCAGAGAGGAGGGAGAGAGCAGGGAAGGAAGGGGAGGTGGGTATACACGGCATGAGAGGAAACGACAGGATGGGGCAGCATGAGAAATACTTCAGTGCAGTGCAGGTCATACCATAGTTGGCGGCATACCTCAGTGGGCGTCATGGCACCAGGTATGAAGACCGTTGGCCCTTTGGCATGCGATGCCACTAGTTCCTGCCACCCACATGGCATGCCACATGCAGATTGGCGCACAGGGCAACGACTGGGAAGGCACTCATCAAAGGAATAACCCACAAGAGGCCCTTGTGGGAAGGGTGAACGAGCGAAGTGGGGAACAGACGGCAGTGGCAGGGCCATAGCAGCCAGCTCGTACAGTATCGGAGAAGAAGAATCAGCTCCATAAAGGGCAGGGGGGGCGTACCGGGTCCGTGGCGGGGCTCATGAGGAAGCGAGCTCCGGCGCGTTGAGCCGCCATGGCGTCATGGGGGGTCAGCACCGTGCCCGCCTGCATGCAACACCGGGGGGTGGCAATAGGCGTTGGCGATAGCGTGGAGTTGAGGGGGGATGGAGGAGCACGGCACGAGGGTCAGCACTGTGCCCGCCTGGGGTAAGGGGATGGGGGCGGCATCACAACGATGGAGGATGGGCACTTTGCTGGCTTGGGAGTAGACATGATGCGAGGGAAAGGAGAGCGCGGCAGGAGTAGGGAGAAAGGCATGGGGAACAGGAGAAGCGCGGTGAGTGGTGCCCTGCCCTGTGGTGATGCGGCGGGGAGGTGTGAATGAATTTTAAGAATGCTCGAGCGGGGACAACAGCCAGGCGGGATGAGGCGTACGGGGTGGTGTGAGGTGGTCGCTCACCCCTATGGTGGCCTTTGGGAACTCCTTGACTAGTGATGCAATGACCTGAGGGGTGCGCAGAGAGGGGGGGAGGGGGGGAGGGTAAGTGATAGATCCAAGCAGGGCAAAATAAACAAGAGAGGGAGTGGTTGTAAGGTGGTGGTAGGTAACCATGTGAGATGGTGGTAACCAGGTGCGATGATGATGATGCCATGGCATCCCTACGACACACACAGCACCGCACCACAGTCCACAGCACAGCATGGCATGAGCGCACCTCAAATACGCCAGGAGTTGTGCATGTGACCTCCAGCTAATGGCGGGAGGACAGGGAGAAGGGGAAAAGGAGGGGACAATGGGCCTCGCGATGAGTGAGGGAGGATGGGGCGGTAGAGGGAGGAGTGTACGGAGGTTTCGGAAGGGTGGCAAGGCACGGAGAAAAGCCGAGGCGTGGAACCAGCAGGCAAGAGTGCCCAGCAGCAAGGGTGCCCGGCACCACGAGGGTTTGAGAACCAGGGCAGGAAGCAGCAGGTAGGTGATGCTGGAGCAGGTGCGTTCCATGGGAAGGGCGCGACTCACCACTTCAATCCCAGCAGCGAGCGCCGCACGAGCAGCGGAGAGTGCCACGTCAGCACTGAGAGGGCCGGGCGAGGGGAGGGCGTGAAGGAGGGAGGGGGGAGGTCATGTATATGTTCGCATCGCACACCTTCCAAGGCATGCCGCACCTTCCAAGGCATGGCACACCTTCCAAGGCATGGCGCATTTCTCAACTTCCAAGCCATGCCTTGCATCCCTTTTCCGCCACACTCTCCCTTTCCCCCTTCCCCCGCACCTGTCAGCGCGCACGCATGCCACGATCCCCGACGCCGCGATTGCCGCCACTGTCTGCTGCCGCCTATCAGCGTCTGACACGTGGCCCGTCGCGCCGTCATCCAGCGCGGCTGCCTCGGTGACGTCAGCAGGCGTTAATCTCCGGCTGCCATTCATGTGTTGCTGACTGCGTGCTGACGTGGCAGCGCATGCGGACGTGGCTACGCCGGTGGCGCTGGTGATATTCGCGCTCGCGGAGATTGGGCGCAAGCGGAAGGAGGGGGCACGCGGAGAGGGGGGAAGCGCGGCTGGGGGACACATGGAAGGGGCAAGCGGGGAGGAAAAGCTCGCGATCCGCGCGTAGGAGGCGGAAAACGCGGCGGTTTCCATGGTACCGCGGTAACGAGGGGGAGGTGAGGGGAGGGGGAACGCGGAGAGAAGGAGTCGAGCGACGGGGCTGAAAGGGGTTTGAAGCGCGGATCACGGACGAGCGACGGGCGGAGTGGTGATGGATGGACGCGCGACACAAACGGCGGCACGCGGAAGAAAGGGTGGAAGCCTGGGCGGCAACACGAATGATGTTGCTCGTGGAATGAGCTGATGCACAGGCAGCAGTTGCCATGTGAGGAGAAAACGGTAAGCCACGATCACCTCAGCGGGAATGAGGACAGCGAGACGGTTTGGTCAGGTTGAAAGGGGTGATCGCCTCTGCTGGTTCAAGCTGCTGATTGGACGTGCCGTGCTGACATGGACGTGCCACGCCATGGCTGGTTTGGCGGAGTGGCTTGGGGAAAAATCTGTGTTGTACTCGCCATAATCTAGCTTCGTTAAAGACATCCGGGTGTGTGAGTGTCTTTTGATGGTTTGAGCTGCATACAATTGCGGGATTTTCCAATAGTAATAACGAATCACCCTGCAAGCAACCCAGTTGTTCATTGCCCCTCTGCATCCTAGACTTAGTGGCTAGGAACACAAAGCGCACTCCCCGCCAATCACAAACGCGGCTACAATCATCACTGTTGCGTGACGTCAGCGCAGCAGACATACCATAGTGTTTGACGCTACCTTCCCTCATTACCGTCCTTGCTGCTCGCTACCTCCTGCCTCTCGAGTCTCGACGCTCACCTTTCCCCTGGCCATGTTCGCCGCTCTTTCCCCCTCCCTCGCGCTCTCGCGTTCCTCGCACCTCCGCGCGCCGTTTTCTTCCAGTCAACTATGCGACACATGGCGCGCGGCTTTCCAAAATAATCCGCTCGCGTCGCCGCGATTCGCGGCCCGTGATTGTTGTTTGTGGAGGCTACCACGGCGCGGAACGGCAGCCAAAGCGTCCGCTACGGACGGCTCGGGCGGGCAGACGGCAGTGGGTGCCGGCCGAAACGGCGCCTCCGCCACTGCTGCCGGCCGCGATTTGACGGAAACCGGCAGTTCTGCCGGCGGCGAGCGGACGGTGCGGCTGACGTCACGCGGAATCGTGTGGGCGGACGACGAGGTGGAGCGCGCGCTGACGGCCGCGCGAAAGCGGATCGGGCCGCGCCACGTGGACATGATGACGTGGCGGCGCGCGATCCACGCGTTCCCTGAGCTGGCGTTCCAGGAGGAAAAGACGGCGGGAATGGTGGCAGCATTGCTGGAAGAGTGGGGGTATGACGTGGATAGGAGCCTCGGGAGTACCGGCGTGGTGGGCACGCTGACAGTGACAGGCGGAGGGGGGGAGGGCGGAGAGGAGGAGGGGGAGCTTCCGCCAGCCATCATGCTGAGGTGCGCTATATCGGGGATGAAGTGTACGTCGTGTGAGCCGTATGGGGCGCTGAGTGGGCGTGGAAGAGGGAGAGCGAAGTGCAGCTGACAGCATTCTTGACTAGTCGGCATGCAATTGACCATCCTCACCTCGGCGACACTCCCTTGCTATCCCCCGACCGGTGCCCCATCCCCCCCCGCCCCTCATCACCTTCCCCTCGTCACCTTCCCCTCATCACCTTCCCCTCATCACCTTCCCCTCATCACCTTCCCCTCATCACCTTCCCCTCATCCCCTTCCCCTCATCACCTTCCCCTCATCACCTTCCCCTCATCACCTTCCCCTCATCACCTTCGCCTCATCACCTTCCCCTCATCCCCTTCCCCTCATCACCTTCCCCTCATCCCCTTCCCCTCATCACCTTCCCCTCATCACCTTCCCCTCATCACCTTCCCCTCATCACCTTCCCCTCATCCCCTTCCCCTCATCACCTTCCCCTCATCACCTTCCCCTCATCACCTTCCCCTCATCCCCTTCCCCTCATCACCTTCCCCTCATCACCTTCCCCTCATCACCTTCCCCTCATCACCTTCCCCTCATCACCTTCCCCTCATCACCTTCCCCTCATCCCCTTCCCCTCATCACCTTCCCCTCATCACCTTCCCCTCATCCCCTTCCCCTCATCACCTTCCCCTCATTCCCTTCCCCTCATTCCCTTCCCCTCATCACCTTCCCCTCATCACCTTCCCCTCATCACCTTCCCCTCATCACCTTCCCCTCATCCCTTCCCCTCATCACCTTCCCCTCATCCCCTTCCCCTCATCCCTTCCCCTCATCACCTTCCCCTCATTCCCTTCCCCTCATTCCCTTCCCCTCATCACCTTCCCCTCATCACCTTCCCCTCATCCCCTTCCCCTCATCACCTTCCCCTCATTCCCTTCCCCTCATTCCCTTCCCCTCATCACCTTCCCCTCATCACCTTCCCCTCATCACCTTCCCCTCATCACCTTCCCCTCATCACCTTCCCCTCATCACCTTCCCCTCATCCCCTTCCCCTCATCACCTTCCCCTCATCCCCTTCCCCTCATCACCTTCCCCTCATTCCCTTCCCCTCATTCCCTTCCCCTCATCACCTTCCCCTCATCACCTTCCCCTCATCCCCTTCCCCTCATCACCTTCCCCTCATCCCCTTCCCCTCATCCCCTTCCCCTCATCACCTTCCCCTCATTCCCTTCCCCTCATTCCCTTCCCCTCATCACCTTCCCCTCATCACCTTCCCCTCATCCCCTTCCCCTCATCACCTTCCCCTCATTCCCTTCCCCTCATTCCCTTCCCCTCATCACCTTCCCCTCATCACCTTCCCCTCATTCCCTTCCCCTCATCACCTTCCCCTCATCACCTTCCCCTCATCACCTTCCCCTCATCCCCTTCCCCTCATCACCTTCCCCTCATCACCTTCCCCTCATCACCTTCCCCTCATCACCTTCCCCTCATCACCTTCCCCTCATCACCTTCCCCTCATCACCTTCCCCTCATCACCTTCCCCTCATCCCCTTCCCCTCATCACCTTCCCCTCATCACCTTCCCCTCATCCCCTTCCCCTCATCACCTTCCCCTCATTCCCTTCCCCTCATTCCCTTCCCCTCATCACCTTCCCCTCATCACCTTCCCCTCATCACCTTCCCCTCATCACCTTCCCCTCATCCCCTTCCCCTCATCACCTTCCCCTCATCCCCTTCCCCTCATCACCTTCCCCTCATTCCCTTCCCCTCATTCCCTTCCCCTCATCACCTTCCCCTCATCACCTTCCCCTCATCCCCTTCCCCTCATCACCTTCCCCTCATCCCCTTCCCCTCATCCCCTTCCCCTCATCACCTTCCCCTCATTCCCTTCCCCTCATTCCCTTCCCCTCATCACCTTCCCCTCATCACCTTCCCCTCATCCCCTTCCCCTCATCACCTTCCCCTCATTCCCTTCCCCTCATTCCCTTCCCCTCATCACCTTCCCCTCATCACCTTCCCCTCATCCCCTTCCCCTCATCCCCTTCCCCTCATCCCCTTCCCCTCATCACCTTCCCCTCATCCCACATCCGACTTCGCACATTCCTGTTCTCCCCTTCGTCCCTCCCTCCCCTCCCCCCCCTGGCAGGGCGGACACGGGCGCGCAGCCCATAGACGAGGGCAACGAGCTCCTTGCTCTCCCTGCCCTCCCTCTACCCCTGCTGATTCCTCTGTTCTTGCCGCCATGCTACTGCTACTCTCCTTGCACCCCCCCTCCCACCCCCCAGGGCGGACATGGACGCGCTGCCAATAGAGGAGGGCAACGAGTTTGAGCACCGGTCGAAGCGAGGCAACACCATGCACGCATGTGGGCACGACGGTCAGTCCGCCATGTGATGAGTGCATGCGCACAGCACACTGCCTGGGTTGCCCATCACCCCCCCCGCCTCACCACCACTGATTCCCGCTCTCCGTTCACTCTCGCCACGCGGCCATGCGCCCACCTACATCCCCCTTTTCTACCCTTATTCCCCCCCACTACAGGAACATGCGCCCCTTTTATTCCCCCCCACTACACGCCTCACGGCCATGCTCCTCGGACTAGTATGGTCCCTGGCAGAGCACCGCTCACGGGGTGTTCCACATGGCGCAGGAGGGCCCGCCCACGGATAACCCTCTCCTACCCTAATTCCCCCTTCCCCCCCTTTTTCCATCACAGGCCACACTGCAATGTTACTAGGAGCAGCGCGGTACCTACCAGAGCACCGCCCGTTCCATGGGCGCGTGCACGTGGCGCTCCAGCCGGCGCACGAGGGCATGGCACGCCCACCCTCCCTCCCGCCCCCCTTGCCAACCCCTCCCTTCCCCTGTCCCCAACCTCCCCTTCCCACTCTCCCAGGCCACACGGCCATGCTGCTGGGAGCAGCTCGCTATCTGGCAGAGCACCGCCCGTTCTATGGAAGAGTGCACGTGGTGTTCCAGCCGGCGGAGGAGGGCACGCCTACGGCCAACGAGTACGGGCGGGAGGGCGGAGGCGCTCTGGCCATGCTGCAGGACGGGCTGCTGGAGAAATACCCCGCCCGGGCGGCGTTCGGCATGCACAACTGGTAGGGCGTTCGGCATGCACAACTGGTAGGGCGTTCAGCATGCACAACTGGTAGGGCGTTCGGCATGCACAACTGGTAGGGCGTTCGGCATGCACAACTAGTGAGGCGTGGTGCTGGTGGCTGTGCGCTCTACTGGTAGCGTGTGCCGTAGTGGTAATGTGGTATACATGCGAGGGTGTTCGTTGCGGGCCATGCTGCATGACGGGCTGCTGGAAGTATATCCCGTCAGGGTGGCGGTAGGCACGCACAACTGGTGACGTGCTGGGGGGATGCATGGTAGGCCTGGCCTGGTGGTCATGTGGTACCCCAAGGAAGGTGCTCTCTGCTGGCCATGCTGCAGGACGGGCTGGGTGAATGGGTGAGTGGATGAATGGGTGAGTGGGTGAATGGGTGAGTGGGTGAATGGGTGAGCGAGTGAGCGGGTCCTTGCCCTGCCTTGCCCTGCCTATTGAAGGCTCCTCTTCCTCTCATTTCTCAGTATTAGTTTGGGGTTTCGTTTTTTCAGCAGCGGCTCGCGCCGGCGGCCTTCGGCCGCGCCCCTAGGGGAGAGTAGAGGGAAACGGTGGCAAGGCGCGGCTACAGTGACATCCAGCAGCATACAAGCATGCAACGGCCTAGTACAATGACTTCCCCGCGGCTTCCAGTCGGCGGCGGCTCTCGCTCTGCCCCTACTGCTCCCAGAACACGGGAAGCCGCCCGGTGAGGGACTCCTTCTCTACCGCCGCCGCCTCATCAGGCGGGACCCGGCTCGCCCAACCGCGCTAACAGGCGCGTCATGCGCCCGCCTACCTCTTGGAGAAGCGACACGGCGGTTCCAACTGCATCTGCAGCCGACCGCTTGTATATCTGCTGACACAACGCCTCTAGGGGAGTGGAGCTGGTCTCCTCCCCCCCGGGCTGCGGACACTCCGGCTCCAAAGCCGCCATCAGCCACCCAGCCACGCGCCGGCACTCCTGAGTGCGCTGGGCGCTCAGCGGCGGCGCCAGCAGCTGGTCGTCCATCTCCTCCCACCCCAGCCGCGCCACCTCCACCACCATCGCCGTCACCTTCTGCAGGCGGGACAGGCGCTCCAGGGTCTCCCTGGTACCTGCCCCCAGGGGATCCACCTCCTCATACTGGTCTGGGCGGCAACTTCGGTCCAGCACCACGCGGCTCGGCACTGCAAACCCCCCTGAGCGTCGGCGCCTGGACGTCACCAGGGACGACACCCCCCCCTGACTCTCCGCCGCTCCCCGGGGCAGAGGCGCTGGGGGCAACGGCGGTGCGCTCACCGGAGGCGGCGGCGGCGGAGGCTGCTGCGGTAGCAGCAGTTGTGGCTGCTGCAGAGGCGGATGCGGATGCGGCGGCTGCTGCAACAACAGAACGGGGGGAACGGCCGACGCCGCTGGCACGTACCCGGGATGCGGAGGGTCCTGAAGAAGCTGCTGCTGGCCAGAAACCGGCACCTGCGGAAGGTACAGAGGCGGACCGCCTGTGGGATTCGGGTACCACGGCGGGTCCAGGCGCACCAGCCGGGGACGAGAAGGGGGGCAGGGAGGAGGTGGAGGAGGGGGTGTGCGAGGAGGAGGACCCGCGGACAGATCAAGTGGCGGAGGCAGGCGGCCTGCCAGCGACTCCAACGACCCATCCGCACGCCCAAGGGCCTGCATCACCGCAGGCACAGTGGCAATGGCCCGCTCCGCTGCCGCCACTGCCGCTGCCGCCGACGTCGCCGCCGCCGGTACCTCCGCCATCAGGCCCGGGCGTCCCGGACGACGATTCCGCGAGTCCCGACCTTGGGGCCCTCCGCGCGCCGCCTTCAGATGACCAGCCGGCCCGCGCTGACGCTGCTGCGGCGACCGCTCCAGGGGAGGAGTCCGCCGGCGTACTGCCCGACGGAGATCGGGCCAGAGCGCAGGGGAGGGAGACGGGCGATATCCGCGCGCGGCAGGAGAGCGCACCTGCCCAAGCGGACGCGACGGCGACCGCTCACGACCGCGCGCTCGGGAGGCCATCGGTACGACGGCAGGTCGTGCTAGACCGATGGCTTTCGCCAGGGGTCGGCGCGCAGCTCGTCGCGGGGACGTCCCGGGGAGGCACGACAAGGGGACAGGGACGGGGAGGCAGCGGGAGATCGCGTGGGCGGACAGCGCGGGGTTTTCCGCTCGTATGAGGAGGACACGGGCGGCGCTCCACGACCGGGGTCCTACGTCCGCGAAGTGCGCCGAAGGCTAGCTGGGGGAGCCACGGGGGCGGGGGGAGCTGAGGGAGCGGGAGACGCGGGAGCTGTGCTAAGGGAGGAGGCGAGGAGAGACACAGCTGGTGGGGAGGAGAGTGGCTCCAATTATACCCTCTCAACCGAGGGGAACTCGGAGGCGAGCTCGGGGGATGAGGGGGAGTCTGAAGAGGTTGAGATGGGAGCCCCTGGGGGAGGCACATCCAACCCAAACCGCGCCGCCCCCAACCGAAATCGAACCGCGGACACAAATGTCCCCGATTCGCGACCCAAGCTGTTTTCGCCAACCGCCCTCACCCGCCGCGAGGACCTGTTCAGCGAAGTGGCGAGCTGGGACCTGGGGCCCCTTTGCGACAGTCGTCAGCCACCCCTCACCCGCCACGCCCCCTGCCCTATTCGCGAAGGCCTCGCCATCTGCCTCCTGACCCCACTCGTCCGATTGGCCAAACAATCTGACTCGGCGCCAGCGTGGTGCTTGCTTTTCTTCCTCCCCCGCCTGATCCTCCGTGTCAGCTCAACCAGACGCCCAAACTGGAAGGCGATCTCGGGCCGCCTTGATAAGTTCCAGCAGGGGCTTTGGGGGGAACTGTACACCGAAACAGCCGCTGCCACCTCCCTGCCATCACTCCCACGCCACAACCCAGACAGCACTGGCATGGTCGCCAGAGATGAGTACCTCGCTAAGCTCGGGAACCTGCGCAAAGCTGTCCAAGCCTTGGAGGCCACCCCTGTCAGCCCGACAAATGATGAGACACTTCGGGCTCTGTATCAAAACACACCGCTGCGGAAACCCCCCTGCCAGCCTGGCTCGCCACCTTCACCCCAGAGGAAGTCCCCTCCATCTCTCTCAAGGACTTCCACAGGTCGCTGCCCCAGCTGCCTAACGGAGTGGGTGCTGGTCCCTCAGGCACAAGTTTCGAGCATCTACGAACTGCAGCCTTGGCAAAAAGCGACATCTGCTCTCACCTGCATCGCCTACGCAACCTCGCGCTAGCTGGCCGCCTCTGCCAGGAGGCCGTCGAGCTTCTCACCTCGTCGCGGATTCTAGCTTTCACGAAACCAGTGAGAGGGACGAGGCCCATCGCGGTGGGGGAATGCCTCCACCGCATTTTCGCCAAGGCCGCGCTCCTCCTCGCGGCGAAAGCGGCTCGGCTACACTTCACGCCCCTGCAATTTGGGGTTGCGGTACCCGGCGGATCCGAGGCCGTCATCCACCTCGCACGGCCCTCACACCCGCCCTCTGCCTCCCCCCCGCCCACTTCGCATTCGCCGTCGCCTTCCGACTCGGCTTGCCTCACACGGTGCCCGGGGTGTGTGACTGCATTGATGAGGTCGAAATCACCGACCCCAGGCTGCCCAACCACCTCCTCCGCTACCACACTGGCCCAGGGCGGACGGCCACCCAACACGGCCTTCGTGACGAAGCGGCCAGCATAGCCAAGGAGTCCGGGTTCATCACCCGGACGGAGACCAACGTGTTCACCCGGGTGGCGAACCTGGTGGCTGACGTCGCCATCCGCCACCCCTCCATGGGGGCGGTTTGGGTGTGCGACACCACAGTCACCGACCCTATCACACCCAACGACCCGCAGGCTAGGAGGGGGACCGGCTACGCCGCAGCCTTGCGAACCCGCGACAAGGAGGACAAGTATGCCCCCCCGGCCCGACCCGAATGGTTCAGCTTCTTCCCCATGGCCGTTGAGACCTACGGCTGCAACGCCCCCGGGGTCCTTGCCTTCCTCCGCCTCTGCGCCGAGCTGGCCGCCAAGAGGCAGTTCCACGCCGCCCCCACCTCCCGCGAGACCGCCAAGGTCTTCCATACCTACCGCCAACGCTGGTCCGTCGCCCTGCAGAAGGGGCAAGCCGTGGCTCTCAACGACAAGAGCAACTCGGCCCTTGCCGCCGATGTGTGGCCCAATAGGGGCCCCTCGGAGCCCATGGACCTGGGCACCCTCATGCATGCCCTAGAACCCGAGGGGGGGCTCCCCTAGAGGGCGGGGGCCCGGCCTCCGTAGCTAGCTTACACCTGTTTTTGGATTGGTTGGTCTGTTTGCCTTGCCTTTAATGTATTCCCCCCCCTACTAATAAAGGACCATTTGGGTGAGCGGGTGAGCGGGTGAGCGAGTGAGCGGGTGGGCGGGTGCGCGGGTGCGCGGGTGAGCGGGTGAGCGGGTGGGCGGGTGGGCGGGTGAGCGGGTGAGCAGGTGCGCGGGTGCGCGGGCCAGCGGGACAGCGGGTCAGCGGGTGGGCGGGTGGGCGGGTGAGCTGGTGAGCGGGTGCGCGGGTGGGGGGGATGCATAGGGGGGGAATGCATAGGCGGGGATGCATATGGAGGTATATGGGGGGATGCATACGGGGGGATGCTTAGGGGGTGATGCATAGGGGGGGGATGCATGGGGGGGATGCTTAGAGGGGGGATGCATTGGGGGGGGATAGGGGGGATGCATAGGGGGGGATGCGTAGGAGAGGATGCATAGGGGGGGATGCATATGGGGGAATGCATAGAGGGGGATTCATAGGTGGGGGGTGCATAGGGGGGGTATGCATCAGGGGGAAATGCATAGGGGGGGATGCATAGGCGGGGATGCACCGGGGGGAGATGCATAGGGGGGATACATAGGGGGGGATTGCATTGGGGGGGATGCATAGGGGGGATGCATAGGGGGGGATTCATAGAAGGGGGATGCATTAGGGGGGGATGCATTAGGGGGGGATGCATAGGGGAGAATGCTTTGGGGGGGGATGCATAGGGGGGGATGCATGGGGGGGATGCATGGGGGGGGATGCATTGGGGGGGATGCTTAGGGGGGGATGCTTAGGGGGGGATGCTTATGGGGGGATGCATAGGGCGGGATGCAAGGGGGGGGAGGCATAGGGGGGGATGCATAGGGGGGAATACATAGGGGGGGATTGCATTGGGGGGGAATGCATAAGGGGGGGGTGCATAGGGGAACATAGGGGAGGGATGCATAGGGGGGATGCATGGGGCGGGTTGAATTTGGGAGGGATGCTTGGCATGCCATGTATGTGGAGAGGGCAAGCGTGGAGGGCACTACCCTCGGGTCCTGCCAGCCCCGGCCTTCCACCCCATCCCTTCCAAGACTGCCTGTGGTTGAATGTGTGGTGCAGGGCATTGGGGCGTGATGATGGCAGGCGCGGCCACACCTGGACGGCACGGAACTCCTACGCATATCCAGTGGGCCGGTTTGCCGTGCATTCAGCCCAAGTGATGGCCGGCGTGGATAACTTCTTAAAGCCCACCTCGTTCTCGCACTGGCGTCTGAAGCACCCGTCTTTCTCCGATGCACACACCTGCCCCAATCTCCTGTCATCCCTCCCCTGCATGCCAGGCCTGGCCTCCCGGTGGGTCGCTTTGCCGTGCATTCAGGCCCGGTGATGGCAGGAGTGGACAACTTCCACATCCAAGTCAACGGCATCGGCTGCCATGCTGCCATGCCGCACCTGGGTGGGGGCAGCGACCCTGTCTTGGCTGCTGCTTCCTTGGTTACAAACCTGCAGGTATGTGTGGAGGGGAGAGAGGTTGATGGGATGGGTAATGGCAGGCGTGGACAACTTCATAGTCGATTGCATCAGCTGCTTGCCATGCCGCCATGCCGCATCTAGGCCAGGGCAGCGACCCTGTCTTGGCTGCTGCCTCGCTGGTCGAATCATTGCTGCTATGCCGCATTCAGGCAAAGGGAACCCGTGTGCCACTGCTAGCGCTGTTGCCTTGCCTATGACCCCCTCTCTCATTCCTCGGAGGGCACTCATCCCCCCTCCCCTTCCCCCTCGTACTCCCTGCCTTCCTCTCTTCCTCCCTGCGGCCAGGCGTTAGTGAGCCGCGTGCTGGACCCCATGACAGTGTGGTGGTGAGCGTGACTCGTCTCATACCTCACGGCACCGCTCTCCCTTCCAACTTCCACCCCCTCCTCCCTCCTCTATGCCTCTCTGCGGCCAGGCGTTAGTGAGCCGAGTGCTGGACCCCCATGACAGTGCGGTGGTGAGCGTGACTCAGATGCACGCTGGGGACGCCTTCAACGTCATCCCGCCCTCCGTGAGTCTCACGTGAAGTGACTGCATGCATGCATGAGGGATCTGTGGAGAAGGGATATGTGGAGAAGGGATGTGTGGGCAAGGGATGTGTGGGCAAGGGCTGTGTGGGCACGGGATATGTGGGCAAGGGATGTGTGGGCAAGGGATGTGTGGTCAAGGGATGTGTGGGCAAGGGATGTGTGGGCAAGGGATGTGTGGGCAAGGGATGTGTGGGCAAGGGATGTGTGGGCAAGGGATGTGTGGGCGAGGGATGTGTGGGCGAGGGATGTGTGGGCACGGGATATGTGGGCAAGGGATGTGTGGGCAAGGGATGTGTGGGCAAGGGATGTGTGGGCAAGGGATGTGTGGGCAAGGGATGTGTGGGCAAGGGATGTGTGGGCAAGGGATGTGTGGGCGAGGGATGTGTGGGCGAGGGATGTGTGGGCAAGGGATGTGTGGGCAAGGGATGTGTGGGCAAGGGATGTGTGGGCAAGGGATGTGTCGGCAAGGGATGTGTGGGCAAGGGATGTGTGGGCAAGGGATGTGTGGGCAAGGGATGTGTGGGCAAGGGATGTGTGGGCAAGGGATGTGTGGGCAAGGGATGTGTGGGCAAGGGATGTGTGGTCAAGGGATGTGTGGGCAAGGGATGTGTGGGCACGGGATATGTGGGCAAGGGATATGTGGGCAAGGGATGTGTGGGCAAGGGATGTGTGGTCAAGGGATGTGTGGGCAAGGGATGTGTGGGCAAGGGATGTGTGGGCAAGGGATGTGTGGGCAAGGGATGTGTGGGCAAGGGATGTGTGGGCAAGGGATGTGTGGGCAAGGGATGTGTGGGCAAGGGATGTGTGGGCAAGGGATGTGTGGGCAAGGGATGTGTGGGCAAGGGATGTGTGGGCAAGGGATGTGTGGGCAAGGGATGTGTGGGCAAGGGATGTGTGGGCAAGGGATGTGTGGGCAAGGGATATGTGGGCAAGGGTTGTGTGGGCAAGGGATGTGTGGTCAAGGGATGTGTGGGCAAGGGATGTGTGGGCAAGGGATGTGTGGGCAAGGGATGTGTGGGCAAGGGATGTGTGGGCAAGGGATGTGTGGGCAAGGGATGTGTGGGCGAGGGATGTGTGGGCAAGGGATGTGTGGGCAAGGGATGTGTGGTGTGGGCAAAGGATGTGTGGGCAAGGGATGTGTGGGCAAGGGATGTGTGGGCAAGGGATGTGTGGGCAAGGGATGTGTGGGCAAGGGATGTGTGGGCACGGGATATGTGGGCAAGGGATATGTGGGCAAGGGATGTGTGGGCAAGGGATGTGTGGTCAAGGGATGTGTGGGCAAGGGATGTGTGGGCAAGGGATGTGTGGGCAAGGGATGTGTGGGCAAGGGATGTGTGGGCAAGGGATGTGTGGGCAAGGGATGTGTGGGCGAGGGATGTGTGGGCAAGGGATGTGTGGGCAAGGGATGTGTGGTGTGGGCAAAGGATGTGTGGGCAAGGGATGTGTGGGCAAGGGATGTGTGGGCAAGGGATGTGTGGGCAAGGGATGTGTGGGCAAGGGATGTGTGGGCAAGGGATATGTGGGCAAGGGATGTGTGGGCAAGGGATATGTGGGCAAGGGATGTGTGGGCAAGGGATATGTGGGCACGGGATATGTGGGCATGGGATGTGGTGCTCTCTTTTGTGTCTCTCTTGCTCCCTTCGCCTCCCCCACTCCCCCTCTGCCTACCCAACATGCTCCAGGCGGAGGTGCGCGGCACGCTGAGGACGTACCAGGGGCAGACGAGGGAGACGATGATGCGCGGGATCGAGCGCATGGCGAATGGGGTCACTGCTGCCCATGGTGAGACCAGGGAGGGGTGATCTCGTGTCTTTGGGGGCATTTGGCCCTGTGTTGTTCTCTCCGCCTTGATTTTACCATGCAAAACCCTCTCACTCCCCGTCCCCTGATTTTTTCTCCCTCTCTCTACCACCAGGCTGCACAGCAACGGTTCGTTTCTGCGACCACTTCCCAGCGACCATCAACACGCGGGGCGAGGCGGAGGAGGCGGCAGCGGCAGCGCGGGCGGTGGCAGGGAGTGCGCTGGTGGACTTTGACTCGCGGGCGCCCTCCATGGGCGCTGAGGACTTTGGGTACATCCTGGAGCGCGTGCCCGGTGAGAGTCGAGGGGAGCATGGCATGGCATGGCAGGGCGTCACATGGCTCTGGCAAGGTGTTATTTGACCCGACTCAGCCTTGCTGACTCGTGCGTGCGTGCCCTCCATGGGCGCTGAGGACTTTGGGTCCATCCTGGAGCGAGTACCTGGTGAGGGTGGGCAAGGCGCCAGGTGAGCGTGAGGGGGGCAGGTGCCCCATGCCATGTCGTGGCATGTGAGTGCGTCACACGGCCAGTGTCGTCGACTCAAGGGCGCCCTCCACGGGCGCTGGGGACCTTGGGTACATCATGGAGCGCATGCCAGGTGTGGGTTGAGGGGAGGATGCTGTGGCATGTGAGTGCGTCGCGTCGCATGGCAGCTTGTTGACTCATGGACTCTCGTGCACCGTCCATGGGTGCTGGGGGCTTTGGATTCGGATACATCATGGATGGCTTGTTGACTTGCCAGGATGAGATGCCTTGCTTGCTTGTGGCTCCAACACCCTGGCTTGGTCTTTGCGTCTGCACTGGTCTTGACCTGCCCGTTGCTTGCTTGCTGCGTTGCCATCTGAGTCTGACCTGCCAGGTTGCTACCTGTGGATTGGGAATGGGCCGACGGAAGGAGGGTGCATGCTCCACAATCCATTGTGAGTGCCAAACCTTTAATGCCTCTCATCTTGACAACCTAGGCTTTTATGTGGTATCTTGGTCCCTTGTGCTGTGCTTGCCTCTTTTTCCTCTGCATGCAATGAGTTGAGTTGCATTTTTGGCTGCTTTCCATCCAGGTATGACTTCAACGACGACATCCTCGCACTGGGAGCGAGCTATTGGGTGCAGCTGGTTGTCAATGCCTTGCCGCCTAGAAAATAAAAACGCCACTACAACGATTTGTATAGTAAGCTTTACTACCACCTCTAATCAAAAGTCAGAAGAGTTAATATGTATTTGTAAGTACATGAAATATGAAAACGGCGCTCCCACAGAAAATCCGTGGGTCACTCAACAACGCTCATCCTAATAATAGAGACAATACCGGATTGAACCGACTCATTATCAGTGTGAACCCAACCCAAACTGGCTACTGGTTGTTCGGCAGTCCCCTCAGCCCCGAGAATCCACGTCTCGCGTGAGTCGTGACCCTTCCCTCGTTCGCGCCGCGCCATGGCCTCTCAGCTAGCCTGGCGGGCGGCAGCCACGTCAGCTCGTCGCAGCCTGAAGGAAGGCCAGCGGATCGTGGCGGCGATGACGTCATCATCTGCTGGCATTACTCTGAGCGACGTCACCTTGGGATCTCCGCGTGCCTCGGGAATATCCGGACTCTCAGAACGGATCGATCCGTCCCCGTTACAAGCCGACGCTACCGTCGATCGGTGTCGTCAATCCCCGCCGTCATCAGCTCCGCTGACGTCATCCGTTCCGCTCCGCCATCTCCCCATCGGTCCCCTCCCCGCGCTTATCCCTTGCGCCACTCCGATCGGTAGCTTCAGGGCGCTCAGATCGCTGGCACGCGGCGCTGGTGAGGGCATCGAATGGTGATCTCGCGCTCCTCACACCGCACTCACACCCCTCCCCACCTCCGGACGCACACTCTAGGTGTATTTTGAGTCGACTCAAAATACATCAGTCCCCTCCCCACCTCCGGACACCACACTCTACCTTGCCGCATTTCCCCCTCTCCGCCCATCTCCCCTCCCTCAAAACGCTACTTCAACCTACCCCTCCTCCCTCCCCTCTCCCTTCCCCCCTCTCCCCCCCGCTACAGCCGCGTTCCACTCAGCCGCGCTGCCAGTCACAGCAGCAGCCGGCGCGGATCAGAATGCGGGCGGTGGTGGCGGGGAGAGGGGGGACGGCGGAGAGAATGGGGGAGGCGGAGGGGAGGCGCGGCAGGAGGAGGACGGGGAATGGCGGCAGTGGATCAAACAGGCGCTCTCGAGTGAGTTGTTAAGAGTGACAGCTGGCAGAGTCTTGTAGAGGGCTGTCACTCCAGTGCTGTGATTGCCTCTCAGGCCACACAGTGCTGTGATTGCCTCTCAGGCCATGGGGATTGCCTCTCACGCCTCGAGTGAGAGTGCTGGCACCTGAATGCAATCCGTTTGACTCACGCTTTCCGTGAAACAAGGATCGCCAACACGTGGGCATTCATTCACCCATACCTCTCTGTGTTGCGCCTGGTTGTTTGGCAGAGGATGGGGAGGACGGAGGCACGGAGGGGGGCGAGCAGCAAGCAAGCATAGCCAGCGGTCCGTGTCACCTGTAGGCTGGCGTGTCACCTGTAGGCTGGCGTGTCACCTGTAGGCTGGCGTGTCACCTGTAGGCTGGCGTGTCACCTGTAGGCTGGCGTGTCACCTGTAGGCTGGCGTGTCACCTGTAGGCTGGCGTGTCACCTGTAGGCTGGCGTGTCACCTGTAGGCTGGCGTGTCACCTGTAGGCTGGCGTGTCACCTGTAGGCTGGCGTGTCACCTGTAGGCTGGCGTGTCACCTATAGGCTGGCGTGTCACCTGTAGGCTGGCGTGTCACCTATAGGCTGGCGTGTCACCTATAGGCTGGCGTGTCACCTATAGGCTGGCGTGTCACCCATAGGCTGTCGTGCTCCATTCGCCTCAGGCGCACACCGCTGGCAGACTGAAGCCGCCTCAGCTGTCGCACCTTGTGCGGTCGATGGCAACGCCTCATGCTCTCCTTCACGCGCGCAGCGAGAGCCTCGTGCTCTCCTTGACGCGCGCAGCGAGAGCCTCATGCTCTCCTTGACGCGCGCAGCGCTGCAACACTCATCTGCTCCTGCAAACATTGCCCACGTGCTCGTGCTCTTCCCTCCGCCTTCCTCCCCTTGCTCACACCTCCCTCCCCTTCTCTCCCTCTTCTCCCCGCTTCCCTCTTCTCCCCGCTTCCCTCTTCTCCCCGCTTCCCTCTTCTCCCCGCTTCCCTCCCGCTTCCCTCTTCTCCCCGCTTCCCTCCCTCTTCTCCCCGCTTCCCTCTTCTCCCCGCTTCCCTCTTCTCCCCGCTTCCCTCTTCTCCCCGCTTCCCTCTTCTCCCCGCTTCCCTCTTCTCCCCGCTTCCCTCTTCTCCCCGCTTCCCTCTTCTCCCCGCTTCCCTCTTCTCCCCGCTTCCCTCTTCCCCCCGCTTCCCTCTTCTCCCCGCTTCCCTCTTCTCCCCGCTTCCCTCTTCTCCCCGCTTCCCTCTTCTCCCCGCTTCCCTCTTCCCCCACGTCCCCCGCCCCCCTCTCTGCGTCTCTGCCCACCCGCTGCCAGGCAAGCCACAGCGCCAGTCAGCCTCTCCCCAGTCCGCGTCCCCGCCCTCACCATCCCCACCAGGCCAACCCCCTCACACCATCTCCTCTCCGCCCTCTCCCCCCACCGCCTCCCCTCCGCTCTCCCCTCCCCCCGCCCGCTTCCCCCCTCGCTCCTCCTCCTCCCCCTCCTTCTCCTCCTCCTCTCTCTCGTCCTCCGACTTTGACGAGCTAGAGGCCCTGCTGGGACCAGAGGAGGAGGAGGAGGAAGAGGAGAGGGGGGGAGGGAGGAGAGTGGGGGGAAGGGGAGAGGGAGGGGAGGACGAGGAGGAACGAGCAGCAAGGCTGCTACTGAGGGGGGGGCAGCTGGGGCGGACAGGGACGCGGGTGTGGGAGAGGGAGGAGGTGGTGGAGGAGGGGGAGGGGGGCGAGGGGGGAGGGGGGAGAGCGGGCGGGTATGGGGGAAGGAGGAGCTGGGGAGGGAGGGAGGAGTGGGAGGGGCGGGCACGAGGCATGGAGGGGGCAAGGGGGAGGTATGGGGGAGGGAACCAGGCAGGGGGAGGACGGTGGGGGGGCGGAGGGGGAGGACTGGGAGGGGCAGGCGGAACAGCAGGGGGATCAGGGGGAGTGGGGGGAGCAGGAGGGGTGGGGAGTTGGGCGGGCGGTGGGGGGGGCGTGGGGGCGTGGCAGGGGATGGCGGACGTGGAGCCCGAGATGGTGCTGTCAGACAGAGCGATGAGGGCAGTTAAAGAGTACGACCTGGAGGACACTGAGGAGAAGTTCCAGTTCCGCCCAGACAGGGTGTACTACCCGGGGCAGACCTACAGCGCTGAGGTGCGCATGGCTGGCAGGCAATGAGCTTTTGGGAGGTAGTTGGTGCTGAGCTGCGGGGGGGGGGAGGGGGATGCAATTAGGGGGCATTAGGTAGGCAGGGCAGGGATGCACTGAGGAGGTTGTTGGCGCTCATCACGTACAGGGGGGTATTTGTCATGCTTGTGTCGAGCATGCATGGCGTCGGATGTGAGCGTTGAACTTGTGCTGTATGGTCTGTGGATGTGTGGCAGGAGTTGGACCTATCCCAGCCGCTACCCGAGGGCAGTGAGACGCACCGCAAGCCGCGCACTGTGACCACCAAGGAGGCGCTCAAGGCGGCTGACTTCCGGGTGAGATGGGCTTCTGGGCTGTAATTTGCTCGCTTTCATTCTGTGTGGGGGGTGAGTGAGACCCACCGCCGGCCTGGCACCGTGACCACCACGGAGGCGCTCAAGGCGGCTGACTTCCGGGTGAGATGGGCTTCTGGGCTGTAATTTGCTCGCTTTCATTCTGTGTGGGGGGTGAGTGAGACCCACCGCCGGTCTGGCACCGTGACCACCACGGAGGCGCTCAAGGCGGCTGACTTCTGGGTGAGATGGGCTTCTGGGCTGTAATTTGCTCGCTTTCATTCTGTGTGGGGGGTGAGTGAGACCCACCGCCGGCCTGGCACCGTGACCACCACGGAGGCGCTCAAGGCGGCTGACTTCCGGGTGAGATGGGCTTCTGGGCTGTAATTTGCTCGCTTTCATTCTGTGTGGGGGGTGAGTGAGACCCACCGCCGGCCTGGCACCGTGACCACCACGGAGGCGCTCAAGGCGGCTGACTTCCGGGTGAGATGGGCTTCTGGGCTGTAATTTGCTCGCTTTCATTCTGTGTGGGGGGTGAGTGAGACCCACCGCCGGCCTGGCACCGTGACCACCACGGAGGCGCTCAAGGCGGCTGACTTCTGGGTGAGATGGGCTTCTGGGCTGTAATTTGCTCGCTTTCATTCTGTGTGGGGGGTGAGTGAGACCCACCGCCGGCCTGGCACCGTGACCACCACGGAGGCGCTCAAGGCGGCTGACTTCCAGGTGAGATGGGCTGCCCTTGAGGGGTGGGACGGGCTGCCCTTGAAGGGTGGGATCGGGAACAGGGCAGCATTCAGGGAGGACGCAACGGTGGTTAAGAAACGGGGAAGTAGACCAGGTTTCAGGGGCATTCGTTTCGCTGCCACGACTGTCTTGTTGTTTGCCCTTACACTCACGACCTTTGCCCTGCCATCCCTGCAGAATGTGCGCTTCCTCTCGCAGTTCATCTCTGAAACTGCCAAGATCAATCCCAGAAACAAGGTGAGCGCACACTACCTTCATGAGATGAGCCCTCATTAAAACCACAGGCTAAAATAGCATGGGGGGGGCTTCAAGAGCGCCGTTCTTGAAGATGGTTCTTTTGAAAAAAAACGGGTTCCCAGTACGATTTTGCGAGGTGCGTTTTTGGACAGCTGAACTATGATCGAAACGTAGTGGAGCCGATTTGACGCGCGTGCGACGAGGCGGGAAACGCGCGCACGACTCAACTTGGTGAAACGGAAGAAGAAGAAGAAGAAGAAAAAAAAACCTACTGTACCTCGGGAGGATTCGACGCACGTGTTTAGGCTTCACATTACGAAGCTCCCTTAGACCTTGACTCGCGACTAGGGTGAAGGTGAACTGTGCAACTTTTGTGCTGAATAACCACGTGGGTTCCGCAAAATGCGACCCAGGTAAACTTCGGGTTAAAAACCTATTGCACACCCGTGGAGCTCTTGAAAATACTGAGCTGTGTGAGCGGTCAGTCGCAACTTGACGAGGCGAGCATCTGATGCCAAATCAATGTCGGGCACCAATAACATAACAATGCTACTTCACATCACATACAATTTCGGCTCCCCATACCATTACGTGATAGGAAACGAACCAAAAAAATTGCCATCAACAAAACATATTTTCAAGAGCTCCACAGGTGTGCTATTCTAGCCTGTGGTTTTAACCTGTGTGCCACCCGCCCAGTCCTCTCTGCTCACACCCCCCTCATTGTGCGATTTCCCTTACGGGTTCAAAGCACGCCGGCAGCAGCCTCCAGCTCTTCCACGCATCATTTTATCCGTCCCTCTTCCTGCACCTCTTACCAAACCAACCCTGCAGACCCGGCTGTCTGCCAAGGCGCAGCGCCGTGTGGCTCGGGAAATCCGGACGGCGCGGGTGTTTGGGCTCATGCCGTTCACGCTGGCGGGCCGCCCGCCGTTCCGCTTTGGCCGGGACCCCAACCTGGACTCAGGGGAGCCCGACTATGAGGCGCTCGAACTGGCGTCTGCTGTTCAGGGAGATGAGCTCAAGGCCATGGCTGGGAGATAGCTTGGTTGATGTGCTTGATTTGGTGGGGGGGAGCTAGCAGATCCCTCCTCGCTTGTTAGCCTAATAGCCCTCATTCCTAATAGCCCCTCCCTGCTGTCATGGGACGGATCAGGGATATGCGGTGCTTGAACAATCATCTGATGCTATGAGGACTAGCTCACGGCTTCTGCGAGCTAGGGACATTAGTATGTTACATTATCCCTGTTGGTTGTATGTGCAGTAGTGGTGGTATCAATGCAACCCTCTGTTACGGACTTCGTGCATGGTATATCTGTAGTTCGATCAATTCAGGTGTGACCCTACGCCTGTAACTACAATACAGTGGACAATCCTACAATGAACTTGTTAGCCTGGCAAAGCTACAATACCAAATGCTTTCTAGACCGATGTACTGCCAAGTCAAACCTACACATACGGTATGTGGAAACCCAGCACTGGATCAGTATCTGAGGTTGACGCCTGAGTGTTGCCCGTTCAGCCGCATCTTCGCCATGTCATACGCCGCTGCATCAGCCGCTGCACTGCCATTACCGCCACCATCCCCCATCCCCCTCTGCAGCAGATTGGGGGGCAGCCCACTCAATGGCAGGTGCTGCTCCTGACCCTGGAAAGAACCCATGTGCCCCCCAGCACCACCAGCGGCACCGCGAGCAGCAGCACCTCCTTCCAGCACTGCAGCATCGAAGGTGGCGAAAGTGCCGCCACGTCCGATGTGCTCTCGCACCCTCGCGATGCCCATGTCAAGGTACTCCTGCATCGTGTCACTGATGTTAGGCAGCTGCGCATATAGATTCAGCTGCGAGTGCAAGGGAGAGGGAAGGAGCAATGGACAGGGAGTCGGTTCTTGAGTAGCAAACACTCGAGGGAGGGTGCAGGGGCATAGAGGCATGCCACATGTTTGAAATGCGGCTCTGTCGACAAAAGCTAGGTGCAATTAACGCACCCTGTGAGAATGAGAGCGAGTGTGGTGGAACCTACACAACATGTTGCATGCACATGAGTGTCTTCAAAAAGGGGGGGTGGGGCGGGGGGTTAGGAGGTCAGAAGTACCCCAAGGTGTGACTGCATGCAGCACTGAGCACACCCTCGGGTGTGACTGCATCGACTGGGAAGCTTACCCCAGGGTGCGACTGCATGTAGTAGTGGAGCTCAAAGAGGCTCACTGCTCCCTGCTTGCGGTCCACTATCTTGCGAACGATACTCTGCAGCTCGTCCTGAGAGGTGCAGGAGAGACAGGGATGCAGGAGAGATATGGTGGTCTTGTGACACCCATATACAAAGAAATGTCTAGATTTGGTGTACGACATGAAGCCAGGAAACAGGTGAAGCCAAAACGAGGCTGCTTGAAGATTTCACTACACTGGCAAAGCCAAAGGGTGGCATCCCGCCTGTCTCAAAGCAGATAGACGGGAGGAATGGCTCACCCTGTCAGGCAGTGACGAGTCATCAGCGACCACACTGTCAGCAGCGGCCGCGGCATGGGAGGCCCTCTCGAGTACCTGCTGCAGCACGAGGTCCACCTGCTGCAGGATGAAGGGCTGCGGCGAGTCGTCAATGGGGATCAGCGACAGGTGCCCCTTGATGGCGGGGCCCTTGGCCGCCACCGCCTCTGAAAGTATCTTGCGGAACATGGAGAGCGTGCGCTCGTCCGTGGTCACTCTGGAATGGGGGGGGGGGAGGGGGGGGGGGGTGGGGGGGAGAGGAAGATGGTACCATAGGAGGGCGTTCTCAGGGGTGTGGATACCACAGAACAGAGAAACCGTTGACTTACTGGTGGATGCTTTGCAGCAGGCGGTCAGGGTCCTTTCATGCTCTCTAGGTTTGGGCTGGAGCCTCACCTCCTCCTGAGCTCTGTGAGGGAGAAGTCGCTGAAGTACTGATGAATGCCAAAGAGTAGCCGGTCAAAGTCCATGTCCGCCACGTACCCACTGAAATTCTGTGAAGAACGGAGTGAGAGAAGCACGGGTGAGGTAATGGGTGAATGGGTGAGAGTTATGGGCAACTTATGAAAGGCTGCGCAGATACGAGCATTGTAGAGGAAGGGAAAGTTAAGGCTTATGGGCAATGGGTAAACATGGGCAATAGCAGACTCTGGAGGAAATATGGTGATCGCTGCCTATCTGACCTTGCACATGCGCAGGAGGCATTTGACAACGAGGGAGGCGAGGGGCGTGCCATCAGGCCCCTTGACATCGGCGGCGGTGGAGCCCTTGATGGTATACGTGGGGCGCAGGATGGTCATGAGTGAGAGGAACAGGGGCGTGGAGGGGGCCGTGTCCTGCAGGCAGGTGAACAAGGAGGGTTGGGGGGGGGGGGGGAGGGGGTGACAGGGGGTTTAGGAAAAGAAAGGGAGGATAATGACAGGGCTGGTCGCCCTAGCGAACCTGCCTGGGTCAGAATACTGTAAGGCAGTCCGCAGGGTTGACAGCAGCAGCACACATCTCACATTCCAGTCACCTTAAGACTCACACCTCAAGAGTCTTTAGTACACTCCAAGCCCGAAGCTCAAAACGAGGATGCCCGTCCCATTACAAGAATGCAAACGACTGTGACTGACCAAGATCTTGAGCATGAGTATGTTGACGGCACGGCATAGGTCAGCGCTGGAGTCATTGGGGTTGCGCTGCTTCACACGCTCGTTGAGCATGAAGATGGTCATCTCCTCCAACAACAACCGCAGGTCGTCGTCGGGGATCTGCATGCTTAGGGAGCGCGTCTCGAATAGCTGAAGGAGAGGGGGGGGGGAGAGAAGCAAGAGACGTCACCAGATGGAGGGGGTTAGAGGATTTCAGGTATCTGCATGCCCAGGCTGCACATCTCAAAACGTTGCAGAGAGGGGAGAGCTGGAGGCGTCAGATGGGAAAGATGAGGAAATTCAGATGAAGGATAGGGGTTGAAAGAGGGGGCGCCTTGGGTTGGATTGCAACTGCTGCCGCTCTCAATTCACATCTGGAAGGACAACCAGGGTGGAGAAAGCTGTGGGGTGCGGTGCTTACTGTGAGCAGCGAGTTGAGGATGTACTTGTAGGTCTTGAGTTGGGCGTCGGGAGCGGAACGGACGAAGAACTGCACAAACTGTGGCGACCAGGGGGGCGGGGCACAGGGAATGGGGCAGAGAGGAAGGCAGGGGACCAAGCCAATCATCTCATGACAGTTGCTTTCGGATGCTTGGTGCTCTCCCGTGGAATTGAACAGTGCACATACCTGGAATCGTAGCAGCTTAATGTATCGGGGCATGTGTTCCCTGAAGACTGCCAGCACGCGGGGGTCCTCCTCTGCGATGCCCCTGCGCATCTCGTGGTACAGGTACTTGAGCCCCTCCACCACGCGATCAGAGGGCGCCTCGCGGTCGATGAACAGGATCGCCTCGAAGAATGACTCTGGCGCCGAGTGCGAGTATCCCGCCCCTGCTGGCTGCGCTTGTGTGGACGGGTAGCCCCGGGAAGTAGCGTAGGACTGGCTGTCTGTGGCGCGGTGGTGGCTCGGTGCTGCTGCCATGTGGGATGAGGCGGACACCATGGGTACTGTAGCTCTGTGGGGCATGCCTGGGCCCATGCCCATGCCCCCATTGCCATATGCTGGTTGCTGGTAGTGCATGGGCGCAGCTGCTTGTGGTTGTACGGCCTCTGCCATGTGCATCCTCGTCGCCCTGGAAAAACCAAATGCAGAGAACCAAGAGGTTGATTAGCTTCTTCCCTACTGCACCAGTGCGCATATCAGACCAGGAAGAAACGAAGGAAGGAGACTAGTAGGCGGGTGTAATAAGCCAAGGAGACTCACAATGGCAGGGCCCCAATGGGCACGGGTGGCTCCATGCCTGCCGCCCCTCCCCCTGACATGCGCCTGCCCCTCTGCTGGCCCGGGGCCCCCTGGCTGCGCTTCTCCATCTCTCGGGCCTGCACACACAATGATCACCGGGAACACAGCAGTTACACAAGTGGCACGCTTGATTTCACAAAACAAACAAGCAGAGGCAGAATGCAAGGAACTGTTATCTCTATCTGGATCAGAGGCAGGTGGAGTGATGAACCAGAGATGCAGGAGAACAGGAGAGAAGAGCGTACCTTCCACTTAAGCTTGTCTTCTATGAGTCCCTTCTGTGCCTCTGTGAGCTTGCCCAGCAGGCGCCAGATGTCCTCCCCCAGAAGCACGTACACACTGGCCAGCATGCTCAGCGCTGCCTTGCGCAGCTCCGTGTCGCGCTCCGTGGTCAGCGCTGCCACACTCACCAGAGGCACGCGCGAGTTACCCATGATCTGCAGGCATACACAGAGGGGGAGCACGGCAATATGGTGAGGAACAGAGAGACATATTGACAGCACAAGTCACAAAGGTATTGCAGGAGGAAAGCCTGAGTGACCATCAAACAGCTTTTGAGCAAAGCAGCATCCGAACAAAGACCATTGTACGAGAGCAGAGCACAAGGGTATGGAGAAGAACGTACCTCAATGCCGTGCCGCTCGACCATGGCTTCCATGTGCTCGACACACTCGATGCGGGTGCGGTTGTTCTTCGACCGCAACCCCTCGACGAGCGCTTGGAACACCCGCGTCGCCGGGAACACCAGTGGCAGCGTCCGCACAAGCTCGCGCATTTTCTCCCGAATGTTGGCAATGTTGTGCCCCGACTGGGGGGAGAGGGGGGGGAGGGAGGGTGGAAGGTGATGGGAGGTTGAGATGTGAGTTGAGGCAGCACAAAGAGATATTCATACAGAAACCCAAGGGACTAAAAAAAACTCCTGGGCGTTGGAAATGGAGAGGTGCGAGAATGAGGGGTGAGAAGCCAGGAGCTGACGAAGGGTCACATGCATACCTTCTCCACGAGGCACGGAATGAGGATGTTGGCTTCGTATTCCGTGAGGATGTAGCCCTCAATGGTGAGGACCTGCACCAGGTCTGTGAGGAAGTCCAGCGCCCGCAGGAGCGACGTGGTGTTGGCCTCTGCTATGCGCAGGACGAACCAGCGCAGCAGGAGGTCGAGCACCTCCATAAACTCTCGTGGCTGCTGCTCCATGGCCTGTGCAGAGACCGCAGGCACAATGGGGGATACCGGATGGCACAGGTTCCACCAAGGATGAACGCGAGCAGAGGTCACAGAAGCAACATTCTCCATTAAACCCGCCACAACACAAAGTAGATATTGGAAAGAACAGACAATGTGACACTCGGTACGATAGTGGGTGAGGGTTCTGAGGAGGTGAACAGAGGAAGGGGAGAAGGCGGAGAGGTGGAGGAGGGGTGTGGTGCGCTTGCCTTGTGGAAGGTGTCAATGGCAGCAACGTGGAGCTTGAAGTCCTTGCTGAACATGCGCTGCACCAGATCCTCCCGGAATATCTTCGCCACGTCCGCCTGCACGCACGCACACATGCGTGGATGAGATGACATGAAAAATATAGTGAGTACCAGCCGCATGCAAAGAATGGGCACCCGCACTCTCTCTTCCTCACTCCCCCCACGGACTGACCTCCAGCTCTTGCAGCTGTTCTGGTCGGGGGTCCTCATACTTGACCTTAATACCCCGTGGCGACCGGTCCCTCTCCTCCTGCAAACACACACCCACAGAGAAAGAGGGGAATGGAGAGAACAGCCATTTATTAGCTGTGCCCGTACATCTCAATCATGCAAGAAAACGCTCGCATATCTCCCTCAACTGACAATGGGAGAAGTGTGTAGCAGGCAGAGCATACCTTGATGGACTCTCTGAGGTTGAAGAGCGGCTCATTCTGCAGCGCGGCCTCCTGCAGTGCTGCCTGCATATGCCGCGCGCCCAGCTTCGACGCCGATGCTGGTGAGCGCCCCACCTGGCACAGCCACCGAAGGGAGGGGGGCCAAGGCAAGGAAGATACGAGTGAGTGGCAAAACATGAGAACCCTTGGCAGTCAAGGGAACTGAATTGACGCTGGCATTCAGGCGTGCAATGGACATACCGGCGCGGGCAGGCTGCTGCGCCCCCCTGAACCAGGCGATGGTGGCCTGGTGCCACGAGTTGTGGCTTTATTGGCCGGGCTGATGGCAGGGGGCTCCTCCTCCTCGTCCTCCATGCTCTCAGCGCTGGACACTGACACGCGGTGCTTCTCCGATATGAGCAGCACTGGCGGCTGCGCTGCTGCTGGCAGGTCGTGCTTTGCTGCCTTGCTCACCTGAGGCACAGAAAGCAACGCACCGACGAAATTGCACGCAGCAGGCACAGGAGAACCTGGTCAGGAAATAGGGTCACTTCTCGCTGTTTGACTAACTCTCTGTATAAGAAGCTGCGTAACCAAGTTTTACTCACAGCGTCGGAGCCACAGGCCTTGACGAGCTCGGTGGTGAGCGCTTCTGCTGCCTTTCGGATCTCCTGCGACTTGTCCTGCAGCCCCGCTGAGCATGCACGCAGCAGCGTGATGGCGCTCCCAGGGTCGCTCTTGGAGAGTACCTGCTGCCGCAGCATCCACTCATACAGCTCTTTGCGCCCATCCGCCGCTATCTTGGTGTCCACCATGGCAGGCGCCACCACAGGAACCTGCAGCAGAAGCAAGGAGGGGATGGAATAGACCCGTAAGATTTGAAACGACTCCCACAGAAGCCGAAAGAGAGTATATATCTGAAAAGGCTGAGGCGAAACAAGGTAGGGGTGTGCGTACCGTTTTGTCAGGGCCCAGCGCTCCCAGCCAGGAGTCAAGCGTCTTGATGACTGCCTCCTTGGTCTGGCGCTTTGGGTCGCTCAAACACTTGAGCACGTCCGATATGATGCCCTGCGATCCATGGAAGGGCCAGAGACAGGAGGGAAGGCAGGTGAGCCAGGCAGTGCAGCAGATGAGGTCCGAGGCTACAGACACAGGGAACGCAGGTGTAGCAGCTGCTGGTGAGCTGGGAAGAGGGGAAGCGGCATACCCGGCTCTGCTTGTCGACGGGTGCGCCCATGGCGTCTGCGAGGTTGGCGATGGTGTTCATGGCGAGGATGATGAGGTTCTTGTTGCTGTCTGACAGGCGGGCCCTCAGCGCTCCAAACACCTCAACTGAACCACGTCAAACACATCAAGACAACAGAAAACGGCACTAGTTAACTAAAGAGTGACCATGCTTAATGGTACAAGAGAGACGCCACGAGATGCTGTGCTGCCTGCAAGAGCTGGAGCCGAGCCGTGACTCGAAGCACTCACATGTGCCATCAGGCAGGATGCGGCGGTTGGCCTCCTCAATGATGCCATTGACAGCGTCCATTGACTCCTGCCGCACCTGAGAGAGCAACGAATGGAAGAAATGAGATTCATGGATGCTATTTGGAGACAGCGGCGAAATGGCCCAACTGTATGACCGCAAGCCAACCCTGCACTGCCGAAATGCTGCACTGCCCATAGTGCAGACCCTATCATCCGCTGCGGTATCTTTGTGTCAGGTGAGTGCTACAGTGAGAGGTTTCCAAGCTGGCATTCTTACCTTCCAGTTGGAGTTGCCGAGGTTGGCAATGAGAGTGGCAGTCAGCTTCGCACTGATGTCCTCCCGAGGCAGTCCTGCCCCTCCTCCGCCATCCCCTCCTCCCCCTCCGTCTCCCTCTGCTGCTGCCTCGCCACCCGACCCACTCGATGGCCGTTTCACTGTTCTCTTTGGCGCAGCTGATGGCTGTGAGAGGCAGGACGACACAGAGCAGCGTCAGCGAAAGGGAAAAATTCGATTAGGGAATCGGAACAAGGGGGAGGAGGGGAGGGGGGAGCGGGAGCAGCAGGTCACCTGGTATAAGGTGGTGATTTGCAAGAGTAGGTTACAGGACAGGGCAGGACGATAGAGGAGGCAGCAAGGTGCGAGGCTGTACTGTACCTCGTGGGGGTTCTTCTCGAACTCTGCCTCCACCGAGGTCAGGAGGGCGGGCTTGACGTCCGTGAGGAAGCCCTTGAGGTCTGCAGGGACGAGCGGAGCAGGCAGGGTGAACAAGTCTATCAGTGAGCGGCAGCAGGCGTGCAGCAAAGCTATCTGACGAGTGGGTCGATGCCAGTAAGACAACATCCCATTCATGTAACGTGTGGATGACAACCAGGCATGCCTCCCACCCTACATCGAGTCTGAATGACAGACAGCAGCTCACCAGGCCCAACGTATTTGTGCATGGCACCGAGCAGCTTGGTGGTGGCACTGCGGCACGGTGCGTTGCTGGAGCCCAGCCCCACGTTCTTGACGAACTCTAGCAGCTCCTGGAAAGAGAGTAGCACAGGGCAGAACGGCAATCAGGTCATAGCAAACACAGTCAGATCGGAGTAATGTGACAATAACTGCTTCATGTCACTCTCCATGGGCATGCTAGTGATGGCAGATGAGCATGCCAAGCCAGCCACCGAAGGCACCTCAACGCACCTTGAGGTTGAGCTGGGCGGTGCCGAAGTCGTCGACTGTTGTGACCATCCATGTGATGCTCTCCGCCAGCACCTTGGGGTTCTTGTGCGCACTCACGATAGGAATGATCTGCGGATAGAAACAAGCAAATGGTATGTAAGGGACATGATAAAGATAGCCTCACTCAGAGAATGTGCGCGAGATAGAATCCCACAGCGAGCGAGAGAGGAAGCGCTCTTACTCTGCTGAAGAGGAACTGAGGCCCGACGCATTCTGCCAGCGTGGTGAGACACGCCGTGGCTTGGATCCGCGTCTTGATGTCCCCGACCCTCTCAATAAGGCCTGGTTGAATTTGACACATGCACACACACGTGTGGAGCAGAGAGTGAGGCTAAAAGCTGATTCCTTCAAGGCCTTAACCAGGAGACGGGAAATGCAGCTGACAGGCAATGAGGCTAGCCATAACAGCGTGGATCCTGGCAGCTATTTGAAAGTACCCTCCAAAGTCCGTCGCACCTTCCATGCAGAGCACAACACACTTCTTGGGAAACCGGTCCACCTTGTCAGCGAGGGCTGACACGCACTCCAGCATCTTCTGCAGCACCTGTTGCCACCAGAGAGTCGGTCATTAGGACCAGGAGCTTGGGAGTTGAAGCGCATCATACATCAAACAGCAGGCCCAGATATTCTTTAAGGTCCTTACTTGCACGTTCTTGTCACTCCAGCCAGGGGTGGTGGAGATAAGGCGCACAATGGTCTCAACGTTGGCCTGTGCATCTGCCATGCTGGGAACCATCTCCTTGATGTTCGTCATGGCTGCACGCAAGAGTGCATTACCCATAGGTCGAAAAGCAGGCAAAGCTCAGCTGTGAACGAAAAAACAACTGCACAGTCCATGAGAAGTTGTAGCAACCATGACTGGAAAGCAAACAGAGGGATGAGTCTAAGAGCCGAATGGCTGTGTGTAAGCCCTGGCAGGCTGCTACTCACCCTCGAGCCTCTCCTTCCAGGCGGAGCTCTTGAGGCTGTCCACCATCTCTGGCGGCAGCACTGCCTTGGCGTGCTCCTCCACCGTCTCGGGGCTCCACGGCTCCGGCTGCAGCCAGGGGGAGAGAGACAGGGAGATGTGCGTGAGACAGGAAGCATAGGGATGCAACAACCAGGAGGGGTTGTAAGCCTTGCGTGTGCCTATTTCGTGGGGACGAGGACAAAGCCAGCTCTGCAAGCAGCTCGCTGCACGACACACCTCGATCTCTTCTGGTGGCGCAGCAGCTTGCGCCGGTTTTTTCGCATCGCCACTCGCCCTCTTGTTGCCAGCAGCAGAGCTCCCCGTCTCCACCTTAGCTCCGGTGGCAGACTGAAAGGGGACAAGAGAGGCACAGCATCATACACGCGCTCAGCACAGCACAGCGGGCACAATGGGATCAGGAACAGCACAGTGACGCACCACCCAGAGTGAATCCATGCAGAACAATTCATTCATGTCACCAGATAACAAAGGACCACAACTCAAGGCACAGGAAGGCATACATCTAGAGGTGTGAGGTGAGTTGACGCCATACCGGGCGAGCGCCAGCTTTGCCACTGAGCAGACTGGCTGCCGACGCCTTGGCGGGCGGAGCTGCTCTGGACGTTGTCTGGCTGCCCCCAGAGGTCCTGCTGGCCGTGGCTGCAGGGGTTTGCGGACAGCGGGGACACAGGATCGTGGGTAGCGCGGCACAGAGGGGGAATGAGTGGGAAACGGGTGACAGGAGAGAGGAGGTGAGTCATGTTGTGCATGTGTGCATGTACATGAACGGAATTGCGCGTGTGAGTTGGGGAGGCGGGAGGGGAGGGATGGGGGGGAGGGGCTTGTGGGGCCGGAGGGAAGGGGGAAGAGGAGAAGGGGAGTGTGGGGGGGAAAAGGGGAGTCAGCTGACCTTGAGGTGCGGCCTCCACAGTGACGCCAGCACTGGCAATGACGTCAATCAACTTCTTCTTCCGAACCTCGTCTACCGACTCCAGGTGTCGTTCCAGAGGCTTCATGCCCACACACTGCAGCAACAAGGCAGCCAAGGCAACAAATAGTTCGTCTTGTCAGGCCAATGCCAGAGGGAACTTCAACGGACTTGAGGCCATTTGGCAAACGCACACAAAGGAGACAGGGCTAGCAAGAGATCACTACCTTGGCAACGTTAGCAAGGGCGAGGAAGCCTGCCTCACGAACATCTACTGTCCCATCTTGAAGGCTCTGCACGTTTCACCAAAGGTCAAGAAGAAATTCTAGGTGAGTGTGTGTAAAATACGAGTAGGAAAACAAAGGTCCATACAATGCTGCACTGAGGTGGGTACGGTGTTATGCCTGCATACCTCAATGAGCATGGGGATGAGCTCCTTGTGCACCGCCATGACTTGGGGCCGCTTGCTGGCCTCGATGCACACAGCCACCCACCCCAACACCTCCGAGCGGACCTGCGGGACCTTGTGCTTCGCGGCTGCGCTGATGTCTGCTCATGCGAACATGGACGACGGGAACATGGACCATGGGTGAAGACAGGGGAATGGGTATGAATACGGCCGCGGACCAGTGGATGTGGGTATGAACACGGTCAAGTCCATTAGCTTACCCTCGAGTGCATCCGTTAGCGCCAAGCACCCTGAGACATAGAACGCCTTGTTCGTGTCTCGGATGGCCTGCACCACACTCGGCTTCTTCTCCTTGTACCTCTCCTGCTCAAGACAAGGCGTGAGACACGCGGGACAGGTCAGAACAGAAATTTTACAGGAGCAAGGAACCCTGAAGCCTCCAAATGAGAGCGTGAGAGCATGACTTACCAGTAAGGCTGGCAGCATGAGGCGTGCTCCAGACGAGAAGTCCTTCCGTAGGCCCTTGGCCAGGTTGCCAGCTGCCTGAATGGCCTCCGTGGCAACAGCAATGTTCACATCCGCAGTCAGCTGCGGGATGAGAATCGAATACAGATAGGACAGAACACAGTGTCAGTAAAGTCGCACAGCAAAGCAGCTCCTGGTAGGAACCACATGTGGAAGTTGACAGCACAGGAACTACCTTCTTCAAGCTCCGCTGAATATCCAGAAAGTCTCCTGGCGCAATGCGGATGGTGCTCGCCAGTTTGGTCAGCTCTGCTATGGCATCGCGCCTCTCTGACCACTTGGTAGCTTTCTGTCAAACGCACAGAGAGAAGTAACGCAATGTTACGGCAGAGCAGAGAGAGTAGACAAATTTAAGCAGGTCCAAGCCACGAGTGAGTCACAACGTCAGCGTAGATGGAGGGGGTCGCTCACAATGCCATCGTAGAAGGTCGTCTTGGATAGTGGCGTCAGGATGTCGACAGGGTCCGCCAGGTCATAGTCGTCAATCACAGGAGGAGCTGTCACCGCACACAGCAGCCAACATCAGAATCATGAACATACAGCTACAGAACGTACTGGAAACATGCCACTACGTTTCATTTGGCGAATTTTAGAAGGAGCAACGCCTTACCCTCAGGCTCTGCGGCCTTGGAGTCGTCAGCTGGGGCATCCAGCACCTCTGGCTCCTCAATCTCCTTCATCTGCTCCGAACGAATCCGCCTCGTCGGAACAGCGCGACCTTCGATCTGCTCGAATTCCGCCTCGAGCTCCGCTTTCTGCTCGAAACAAGCAGATTGAGGACAGTCAGGAAAACCTTCAACTCAGAATGAAACCGCTGCGAAGTTTGCAAACCCTGATACATCCAGCGCGTACGCACCGTGGCGTCACGGAGCCCTTCAAACAGCAAGCGCTTGACGGTGTCCTTCCCCAGCCAGCGGCAAAGCTCGACAGTGAGGCCCTTGGCGCACTGTCGCACTCCCTGGTCTGCGTGGTTGAACAGGCCGGGAAGCATCTTGAAAATACGCTTCGGAGGAACCACGGCAGTGCCGAATTGGCTGCACAGAGAGGTAATAAGGAAACCAAGTCAGCCGAAGTTTGATCATTGAAGGAGTAAATACCGACGTTAGTTCTGTCCTGGTGTCGCGAGCGCTGCAGTTACGCCGCGAGCACTGGAAAACCGACGGGAGCGGTAGGTTTACCTTAGGGCTTGGTACATGGCGTCGATGGCTGGCACTACGGCCTTGGCGACTTTGTGCTTCACCGCTTTCTCCATACAGTCCTGCACATGGTCGCCAGGTTCACGTCAGGTTCAGGATCAGACACATCGCGACGCTGACCGTTAGTTGACGGCCACCAGGAATATGTTTCTGCTCACCAAGAAAACCTCGACGGCCTCGAGCTCGACCCATAATAGAAACGAGGTCTGTGCCCTCTCAACTGTCTTAGGTCGACCAGTAAGGCACTTCGTAGCCGTAGCATCGCAAATCTCCTTGGCGTACCTAATCCAGAAAGAAAGTAATGTGTTAGGCAAGAGCTGATAAGAGATTTCACTGGAAATAAAGTCGTTGATTCTCACCTCGCAACATCAGCATCTGCTGCCAACTGAAATGCTATTAACGCATCTAAAGCCTTTTCTTGTGCAGGAGCGTTTGCATCAGATACTGCTTTCTTCAACAAAGCACCTGAAAAACGAAAGAACGACATCAGACCTACGCTCGGCTGTCTCACGGCAATAAACGAGACGGTAGTGGACGTTGATACGAACCAAATTCTCTGAGCTTGGGGTCTTTGGGATCCTTAATCTTGTTGCAACTGTCGGCGATATCCAAATACAACTCATTCCTAACCTTCCAGTTCTTGTGAGCTAATCTATCTTCTAACGGGAGCTTCTTCGCCTCCTGCAGGACCTTCTCTTCTTCTGAAGCCATGTCTCTCCTAGAAGCGGAACGGTTCTACGCGGAAACAAGAATCGACAGTAGCCCAAGGAGCAATCACCGACGCCTATGGCTTACGAACTAGATGACTATTGCGTAGCTGCTCTAGAAGACAAGTCACTACTTCTCATACTAAACAAAACTGCATCCAGGAGCTAACCTTACCAACAGGAGGGCAATCCCAAGGATGTGATGTGACTGACTGGAGCTCAACTTGATTTCTGTTCTGCAGTTGAATCTGCCTAGTGGGGTGACAACCGATGGTCGTGCGGGCTGGAGAGGAGGTGATGTCCCGCATTTTCACAGCCATGCTCGTCATGATCGAGGTGGTGAAGTGACAACAACGAATGGAAGTGTTTCCTTCGGTTCAGGCGATTCGCAATTGGGGGTCTTCTCCTCGAGGAAGACCTCCTCCCGCCACCCGAAGTCAGAGTGCGACCCAAGGTTGGGCCAGTGTGTCAGAGGGCGATGCGTGGCTGGAGGTGGACTAAGGTGCAGCTCAACCGAGGTTCCAAAGGCAATATAAATTTATTCATCATAATGTGTATGCCAAAATTACCTCATCAACGGGGTGGACTAATCTGTTGCACACATTCCGCTTTTTCTCTCCAACTGTTCGTATTGCCCATCGCTCTGCATTGTGCCTGAGCGAATTCCCCTTCCCCCATCCGAACTCGCCGATACTCCCCGTCCATTAGCCTCACTGCCCTCCTGTCTCGTTCCCTATCGCCCCTCGCAGTTCACCTGCCTGTTCGACCCGTCGGCGGACTTCCACACGTACACGCTCATCTACTCGCCGCGCTTCATCGTGTGGAGGATCAACAACACGCCCATCCACGTCACGCTCAACCAGCCCGGCAAACCCTTCCCCTCCTCGCCCGAGCAAGTCAGGGTGCGTTCCCTCCCCTACACCCACCTATCTGTCAACTTATACATATTATCTATGTAGAAGTTATAGGCTAGACTGAGGTATGCTTCTAGTGAGTACAACCAACTAGTATTTGTTCTAGGTTTCCACTTTAAACATTATTCGTTTCTACGTTAACATGGTATCACGCTTAGGTTAGGATCCCCCCGCCTACCGCTTCCGCCCGTCGCGCCTCCTAGGCCCCGTCGCGCCCCCTAGGCCCCGTCGCGCCCCCCCTGGGCCCCGTCGCGCTCGTTAGGCCCCGTCGCGCCCCCCCTGGGCCCCGTCGTGCCCGCTGGGCCCCGTCGCGCCTCCTAGGCCCCGTCGCGCTCCCCCTGGGCCACGTCGCGCCCGCTGGGCCCCGTCGCGACCCCTAGGCCCTAACGCGCCCCCGCTGGGCCCCGTCGCGCCTCCTAGGCCCCGTCGCGCCCCCCATGGGCCCCGTCGAGCCCGCTGAGCCCCGTCGTGCCTCCTAGGCACCGTCGCGCCTCCTCAGCCCCGTCGCGCCCGTTCGGCCCCGTCGCGCCCCTCCTAGGCCCTATCGTGCCCGCTGGGCCCCGTCGCGCCTCCTAGGCTCCGTCGCGCCCCCTCTGGGCACCGTCGCACCCGCTGGGCCCTGTTGCGCCTCCTAGGCCCCGTCGCGCCCGCTGGGCCCCTTCGCGCTTCCTAGGCCCCGTCGCGCCTGCTAGGCCCCGTCGCGCCCCCCCTGGGCCCCGTCGCGCCCGTTAGGCCCCGTCGCGGCCCCCCTGGGCCCCGTCGTGCCCGCTGGTCCCCGTCGCGCCTCCTCGGCCCCGTCGCGCCCCCCCTGGGCCCCGTCGTGCCCGCTGGGCCCCGTCGCGCCCCTTAGGCCTCGTCGCGCCCGCTGGCCCCTGTAGCGCCTGCTGTTAGCGCTCGCCCGCCTGGCCTCCTCCTAGTGCCGCTCGGCCTCCTCCTAGTGCCGCCCGGCCCCCTTCCTAGCGCCGCCCGGCCTCTCCTCAGCGCTGCCCGGCCCCTCCTCGTGCCCGACCGGCCCCAGCAGCACCAGCCTGGCCCCTCCCAGCACCAGCCCGGCCCCAGAGCACCTGCCCGCCTCCCCTGCTCGGCCTGCCGTGTCCTCTCGGGCCCTGTGTCTCCTGCTCGCCTGCGCTGGGACGCCTAGCTGCTGCCCTACTGGAGAGTGCTGCCGCCGTGTCCTCGCGCCGCTGTGCTCCTGTGCCGCTGAGGAGCTGTGCCGCTGTGCCGCTGTGTCGCTGAGGAGCTGTGCCGCTGACCCTGCACGATGGCTGACTTTGTGCTCCGCCTGGACGCTGAGGGCCACGCGGTTGACTTCGCCGCCTGGCTCTCCGATCTCCGCCGCCAGCTTACAGGTCAGCGCCAGGATGGCCACTCTCTGGTTGTCCATGCTGATGGCTTGCTCCCCCGCCCCCCTGCACCTACTCCCCTCCCTGCTGACCCCTCCTCTGATGACCGTGAGGCTTTCTCTACTGCTGCGCTGGCCTGTGCGGTCTGGGACTCACGCGATGCAGTAGCTCAGGTTGCTATTAGTCACGCCCTCCCTGTGTCTGAGCGCTCGCGTTTTGCTACTGTTGAAACGGCCAAAGCTTATTTAGACGCCGTTATTGCTCGCTATTCCACCCCTGCCTCCGCTTCTGCTGGCCGCTTGCTCTTTCCGATGCTGTTCCCAGACCTGGCTGCCTTCCCTACTGTCGCAGACTTTGCCCCTCATTTGCGTGCCCTAGAGACTCGCTATCGCACTGCCAGCACTGCTGCCCAGCTAACTGCGCTCCCCCCTCCTTTCTGCATGACGCTCTATTTTATCGCTATGCGCCTGCCAGACCGCCTCGCTAGTGCTCGCGACCACTTTCTTAGCCAGCACCCGGGTGACCTCACCCTGACCGCCTTTGTCGACACCCTCACTGAGATCGAGACTCGCCAGCGCACTATCGCTCAGTCAAGCGGTGCGCTGGCAGTCTCTATCTTTCACGGCTGTGCCCCATCCCAGTGCACGTTCACTGACGTTTCGGCTGCGGTCGCCACGGCGACCCGTCTTACCGAGACGGCTGCTGCTGTCCACCCGCAGCAGCGCTCGCGTCGCGGTGGCCGTGGCCGCCAGGGAGGTAGGGGTGGTGACGCAGGTGGTGGTGGTCGTGGTGGTGGTGACGGTAGTCCGCCTGAGGGGACTACCACCGGTGGGCAGGAGCAGCAGCCCCAGTAGCAGCAGGACCAGCCCCAGCCGCAGCCGCCGTCCCAGCAGCACCCGCCGCAGCCGTGGGCTCGTCTCCCGCCTGGTTGGCCCGGCACCTCCGGAGGCGGTGGCCGTGGTGGCGGCCCGCGCAGCTTGGCGTCTACCAGCGGCTCCAGTGCTGTGACCTGCCAGTACCAGCTTCAGACAGGGCCTCTCCGCGGCACTCTGTGCCGCCGCCCGCACCCGACCGCCCGCTGTTTCCGCCGCCTCGACGATCTTTTTCGTCGTCGCTTTGGCCCGGCCCCGGACCTCCCTGACTGGCACAGCCTGCTCCGCCAGGGCGTGCCGATCTTTGAGTTAGACATGGATCAGATAGGTGCTGCTTTGCATGCTTTGTATGCTGACGCTTCTAGTGTTGCTGGATCTTACTACCCTGTGTACTCTAGTTTAGGTGTTTCACCCTTGTGTAGCTTAGCTTCCCCTGCTGCGTCAAGCGTAGGACTGCCTAGGTTGCCTAGCCTAGCTTCTGCACCCGCCCCGTCCCCGGCCTCTGCCACTGTCTCGCTGTCCTTCACGCTCGACTCCGGTGCTTCTGCCTGTTTCTTCCGTGACCGGTCCACGCTCACGCCGCTTGCTGCACCTGCTGTTGTCTCCCTCGCTGACCCCTCTGCCGGTCCTGTCGTCGCTCGCAGTTCCACTTCCCTTCCCTGTCCAGCCGTTCCCTCGGGCTCTCTTACAGGCTTCCACGTTCCCTCGTTCTCCAGGAACCTGGTTGGTGTCGGCCGTCTTCAGGACCTCGGCGTCACCACCACGTTCCCTGGGCACGAGCGGTTTGCTGTCTGTACCGAGGCAGTCTCAGGTTCCCCTCTTGCGACGTTCCCCCGGGACCCGGTGTCTGGTCTGTTTACCCTCGACACCGCTTCCCCCCCGGTTGGTGCGTCCTCCCAGGTCGCTGCAGCTTGCTCGTGTCGGTCCCTCACTCACCCGTCCCTTCTCTGGCACCACCGCTTAGGTCACCCTGCTCTCCCACGTCTGCGTCACATGTCTCAGCACGGTCTTGTCTTAGGCCTCCCCGCGTCGCTCCCTGCCCTCCCACCCTCGACTGCGCCACCGTGCACGCCTTGCGTCGAGGGTCGGCTCCGCCGTGCTCCTCACTCCTCCTCGTTGCGTCCTGCTACTGCCCCCCTTCAGACCCTGCACCTGGACGTTTGGGGCCCTGCCCCCGTCCCCGGACCGCGCGGTGAGCGCTACTTCCTTGTGCTCGTCGACGACTACACGCGCTACACCACGGTGTTTCCCCTGGAGCGGAAGGCCGACGTGCCCGACGTTCTTCTCCCGTGGGTTGTGGCTGCGCGTCTCCACCGCGGTCTCCCCGTATTGTGTCTCCACTCCGACCGTGGCGGCGAGTTCGCCTCTGGTCGGCTTGGACAGTTCTGTCGTGCGGAGGGCATCACCCAGTCGTACACGTTGCCGGACTCGCCACAGCAGAATGGGGTTGCTGAGCGCCGCATCGGCTTGGTCATGGAGGTCGCCCGTACATCCATGATCCATGCCGATGCCCCCCATTTTCTGTGGCCGTTCGCTGTTCGCTACGCTGCTCACCAGCTTAACCTGTGGCCACGCTCCCAGCGGCCGCAGGTTTCGCCGACCCTCCTTTGGACCGGGTCCCCCGGTGACGCGTCTGCGTTCCACGTCTGGGGCTGCCTTGCTCACGTTCGTGCCTCTGGCACGGACAAGCTCACTGCCCGCACTGTCCCCTGTGTCTTCCTCGGTTTCCCCCTGGACTCGTCTGACTGGCTCTTCTATCACCCGCCGTCTCACCGCTTCCTGCACTCTCGTGACGTCACCTTTGACGAGTCCGTCTCCTTCTACCGCCGCTTCCCTCACCGAGGTCTCCCAGTTGCCCCCCCCCTGTTCCTTGCTCCCTCTCCCTCAGTAGCCCCTGCCCCTCTCCCGCCTCGTCCTGCCCCGTCTGGTGTCTCTCACGTCACTCCCCTCCCGTCGGTTGTCCCCGTTGAGGAGTCTGCTGACTCTGGTGGTACCCCCGGTCCGTCCTTGCCGCGTCCCCCTTCCCCGGTGCCTCCGCCCCCACTGTCGCAGTCGCCGACCCCGCTGCCGCTGCC